ATTCATTAGTCCATATTTCCTACTTGTCAGTTCATGATATAGAGCAACCTCCATCCAATCCCATCTTTGAGTAACTTTCCTCATGTTTGACTTGGTTTGCCCCACAGATCACGCACTCCCTGTTGGAACTTTGAGAATCACCTGTCAAAGCTGGTTACCAATGAAAACCAGATTAGTTGAATTTTTAGTCATAAGATCAGTAGTTAAGTGCTGTCAGCGGAACCTGAAGGTCCTTAGTTCGACCCCGACAGGATCATGGATGTGCACTGTTAAGGAGTCTCATACTTGAATGAAATAACTCCAGTACTCCCAATTTTCCTCCAACTGGTGTCAGTCTATGATAAATATCAACCTGAAACCAATAAATAAATCCCCACGAATCTCAAAATTTAAAAATCTACTTGTTTTACGCTTAAAGTGGAGTTGCAATGTGAACATGTCTTCTTAGCTGTCGAGAATAATTGATGAATTTCTTGAAGGATGGAATTAAAAATTAACCTGAGTTGCACGAACAGCTGACAACTTTATATGTCTGTGTAAGCATAAAAATGAATGTTATTTTTTCCTCTCATCACAAACATCTATCGCATATGCACAGAAGTCAAGTTCGACACAGAACTGGAATCATTCCGAAATACTCTGGTTCAGAATGGAAACTCAACATCATTTATTGATGAATGACTGAAAAATTGACTTCATATTTCAATAACCCATCAGTACCTTAAAAAAAATACCCATCTAAGAATTCCTGATTCAAGGGTCAAGTCCTACAAAATCACCTTTGAAAAGCAGTCCAAAGAACATTTCTTTTCTGTATGCCAATTTCATCACACACACACTCTACTTCTTCAAAAGTTTAAGAATGAGATCCTGCTGTTTGAAACATCAGTGTGTGTATAAACTGAGTTGTTCCTGGCGAGATAAGTGAGTAGGTCATACTAGCAGAGCATTATCAAACCATATTAACAAGTAATTAATTACCCATCTAGTTGTCAGAAAGAGAGATCAAGGCAACTAAACTTCTACTTTGAAGTGCACTGACTGGTCACTTAACAAATTTCGCTCAACGTAAAACATAAATTAAAATCACTACGTTTAAAGAGATTTGGACTATGTTCCCTCTGTATCGCAGAATCTCTCACTTAAAACGTGTTGTTCAGTCCTTTCGCTATCATATCTATGTTTCAGAGCAAAATGACTTTTGTTTAGTTGATATGCTTCATTTCAAACTGAATCTACGGAATTTGTTCAATACTTATAGCTCACTTACTAAACAGTGATCGTTTATTCAGTATGTAAGTAGAAGTAAGCGTACTGGATGCAGTCAAAAAAATGTTGAGCATCAACAATCGAACTTCACCACTGACTTGACTTAAAATAAGAGCCGTTTGACTGCAAGAACTCTGTATGCTCAAGTAAATTACTTATAAGCGGGAAAGCAAAGCAAGGTCACCACAGACTGATATGTAATTCACATTCATTTGACTAACAAAAACCTCCAGACTTAAGTTCTAGGTTCCTAACTAATCATTTCCTTTAGTAGTATATTTTCTTGAAGGCGGCATAGATGCACTAAATCTTTCCCTACCTCTTGAGTAGTTCGTTAATTTAAACGTAACCTTTCTCTATCCTTTGTTTTCTGATTGCTTTAAATTACTTTTTTTCTCATTTATTCCTTACTATTTCTTTGCATATTCGCTAAATTCCAATAACTAAGTAGTATAATAGTTTGTACACTGCTTCAGTTGCTCCCAGTCATCTTCGAGTTGCAGAAGAGTTCAGCAAATACTTTTTAGGGAATTATTGTAGCTGAGAAATCTCATTTTTGATAACACTGCACACCGCATAAAACTATGTCTCTAAAACATATTGAGACTGTAAGTTCATGAATACTATGCATCTTAATATAAGATGGTTGGAGGTAATCGGTGCCCTAATTTACGGTTTCTGGCTTGTCGATAATCTCGATAGCGTAATTAGAAGACGAAGTTTATCTGAGCAATGTGGTGTATTTACGCAATACATTTCGAACAATCTGATCACACATTTACTTGTCAAGTCAATATATATTAAACCGAGGACTGGGAGGGGGGGGGGGATAAATACAACAATTAACACACAATAGGGGATTAAAATTAAGAAAGATGAGGACAAACGGGAAGTGACATAGTAGGTCATAGTTAGTCACATATTTATCTGGGACGCATGGAAATGAGTTTGCATGAATGTCATTGGGAAGGGATCTAGACAATTTTTGCCTCGTTCTATCCTTCGTTTTACTGGTTACGGAGCTACAAAAATTGATGAATTTAATGTGGCATATAAGAGAAATATCCGACAATACACATGAAGCATGAGTATGCGTAACTTCTCATTGCAATTATCTATGTGTGATTTCATAAGCCGAACAAGATTTGAAAGGTTGGGTTGCAGTTTAGAGGATCGCAACATTTTGTAAAATTGTCTGGGAAAAATGTGATCAGAAATGCAAGATTTATAGAATTCCAATTTCACTTTCTTAGATGCGATTTTACACTTTAGGTTAAATAGTTCGTTGTGTTTACCAATTTGCATGTGTGTGTGGTCACTCATACACAGAAAGGAGTAATCGAGTTATGCAGTTGAGGGTGGGAGAACATGTGCCTAAATGGCTTCAAAAACAAATGGAGTGTGAAACAGTGATAAAAACTGGTGGGAGACGACCCTCTTCATCTATAGCTAAACATATAGAAACAGGTCACAAAGTTAATGTTCAAACAGCTTTCAAAGTCAGGGACGTATTCTGAGATTTACGGAAGCCATAGCCATACACAAATTTAAGCCACCATTATGTGTACAAAAACAGTTTGTTATTATACTACACCTACCTTGGTAAACTTTGTTTTCGAACCAAGATTAGGACCAACTATGTCACTTCCCGTTTGTCCTCATCTTTCTTAATTTTAATCCCCTATTGTGTGTTAATTGTTGTATTTATCCCCCTCCCCCCCTCCCAGTCCTCGGTTTAATATATATTGACTTGACAAGTAAATGTGTGATCAGATTGTTCGAAATGTATTGCGTAAATACACCACATTGCTCAGATAAACTTCGTCTTCTAATTACGCTATCGAAATTCATAAAAGGGACTAACTGTTTCAAATTGTCGATAATCGTCGGCAAGGCATAGCCTCAACACCAAATGAATTGACCTCTGCTCAGAGACCCAAACTTGTGTTATATAATATATAATAATTATATTATATAAATAATATAATAATATATATATATATATAAAGGCTTTACCACTCACGTTATCAGATCTTAAATATTCTCCACTAACTTCATTCCTGTGTAACACATATATGTACCCTAAAAATATCACATTTAAGAACTGGAAAAGAGATTAACTCATTAAAGGGTCTGTTTAATTAAAATAAGAATAAAAGTTTTACTTCTATTAACATAAATCAATGATATGTAGACCTGGTTCGTATATTGATTGGTCAATCTCCAGTGACCAGTCAATGTACCTAATTCAGTCTTACAGGAGGTTATTTGGGCCCCTTACAGGTCATGATAACGTGTCTGACTGCAGCACTGAGTGACATCAATCCCAATCTCAGGCGGGACATCAGTTCTATAGAGGTTGCAGATACGCTTCTCTGATGAGTGCCAACAAGCACGAAACCTAGGTCCAGAGCTTCCTACCGACTGGCTCTATCCAACTAACAGACTTGACTTAGCAATCTTCAAACTGAAATCAATGATTATAGGTAGGAATTCCGTGGCCCAAGTTAAAACTAAGGTGCCCTAACGATTACTTTATAAACTTCTTATTATACCGATTATTATAAACATCCAGACTACAGTTGTTAGGACCGTCCTGGAAAATAACGAATAGCCGAGTCCAATTAAATCATCATAAAAATATGTTGTCATAAAGTCTCAGTGTTTTGAACATCAAAATCAGATACATCTGAATGCTTAGATGTATAAGTAATACCTTTTCTGTCACCTATCGCTGGAATTGAGAAATCCTTTATGGACAGGGGTATCATCCAGTACAACAAAGAGTCGTCCAGGAGTCACAAATACAAAACCAGACTTTCCACACTGAATAGTTACACATTTGAAATAGTACGCTGAACTTATCATGCGATCCATATTGGTGTAGATCCCTCTGATTTTCGATATTTAATTGGAAATCTCGCTATCAGACTTCCATCACCACTCACTCTACTCAGAGAGACAGGCATTGCAACTAATTCCTACTGACTCACCATAAAGGTAGGTAGCTTCGAACATAGATTAGCTGAATGTTCTATTGAGACAATAGAAGGAACCGATTAGCTTACATCAATCTGTTTAGAACGAGGACAACGAAACATCAGTAGGCTGAAACACACAAGAGCATGACTAAAGTTGAAACATAATCGAAAGGGAGGAGCACTTCTGTATATACCCAAACTATCAGTAACCAGTTACGGTAGGACCTGTGTGAACCCATGCTTGGATAACAACCAGATGAACCAGATCAGGCAGTATATCCTACAAGGTCTTTCGAGCACACTCTTCGGTAACATTTCGTAAGCACTCTAACTGAACCTTCTAATCTGACAGCATCCAGATGATTATTGATAGGAAACAGATAATTAGTACAGCTCCTACCTAAGCGCTTAATGCAACAACAGCATGAGGAGGGCTAGACGCTATTGCCTTGTCTCTGGATAAATAAACATCCAAAACGTTAGCATATGGGAAATTTATTCGAAGCACCTTACAAATCAGTGACAACGTTGTCCAAGGTTCTATATTTGTTGTCTAATTTGTATCACTTTGAGAACCCTGAAAACGTCAAGGTTTAACTGTATGGAAGGCATAGACCGAATACACTGATAGATACCAGTAAAAGAGTAATCCCGGAGAAACGGAATAAGAAATATGATTGGAAGGATTTTATTTTTGAGATTTTTCTCTAGCTTTTAAGTTTCCTTAATCTAATGCCTTTTTTAATACAGGTTAGAAGAATTCCAGAAGTGCTTGAACTTCGACAATGGCAATTAGACTGGAGGAAATATAATCAAATGAAACGGAATCAATTACAACATATCTGAAAGAAACTTTTTTACTCTAATATATGCAACAGAAAGGTAGTTTTAATTATGCAATAATAAGAATTCCTGAAAATATAACTTAATCATTTAAATCAACAAAGTTCTATTTTATAAAACATATATGGATGATATCTTAATCATAAGTGATGATTCATGGTATGCTACTTCAGTCTTGAATCGAATGAACGAAGTATAGAATAGAAGAAGAGAATGATAACTGCCTTAGATGTATTGATTAGTCAACAGCAAAATGGATCAATAAAACGATCTATTTATAGAAAGCCTACTTGAATAGGACAATACTTAACACAGTTTCTGTCCACTTCAATATAAACAAGGTTAAGTTAGGTGCTTATTTAATCCAATTCAACGAATATAGACAGTCGATATGTTAGAAAATGAGACAAGACTATTGATTGAGAACAACTAGGCAACTAAGTCTATAAGTCAGGATAAAGTTAACACAACATGAAGAAATACTATCTACTCTATTCGTAAGAAAGATCGATTCATCAAGCTACCATACACTGCTGATGAGAACAGTTTGGTAGACAGACAAAGACTTAATGCTACCATCAGTAATACATATTACACAGCAGAGGTTCGGATAATTAAAAATTCGAAGCCTATACAGCCATCGAAGCTCTCGGAACAGGTGAAAGGTGAAGTCACATCTCATTGTATTTATCAATTTAAATGTATTTGTGATCACATGTACATAGGGTTCCACCAGTAATTGAAAATAGGGACTACAAAACATATTCCGAATTGGCTTCAAAAAAATAGTCGCTTGAACCAACTGATTCTGGAAACAGAAGTTTGAGCTCCTCAGTGGCTGAACATATTCATGAAACGGGGCATAAAATGGATGTACAAACGTCATTTAAGCCTATCCATAAGATCTATTAAGGAATTTGCCATTGGGATGCTTAGGCCACATTTACGCGTTCAAAGACAATTTGCCGTCACATTAAACCTTCCTTGGTAAAATCATCTTTGAACTCAAGGTTACAGCACTATTAACTTCTAAGATGAATGGGGATTTTTAATTTAGAACTCGAACTCGTTAACCATCCAGCCACTGATTCGGTTTTCAGTGGTTTACACTTTCCAACTTCTGTCAATTCACGATATAGCGCGACTATTCTCAACTAGTGTCAGTCTACGATGAATATTACCTCTAAATTAAAAATCCGCATTCATCTCAAAAATACATTTCTATAGAGTGCTTATTAGCGACTTGCTTCTAGATGGATATCACGAAGTTCTAATGAGAAGCCATGACCTTTGGGGTCAGTCAGTCAGTCGGAAGGGAAGCGGATGCCAACTGAAGACCTTGGGGGATAGTCACCGTGAAACCCGAAGGTCCTTAGTTCGATCCTTAGCCGGGTCGTGGGTGCGTACTGCTGAGGAGTCCCGCACTAGGACGAAACAGCTGTCCAGTGCTCCCTGATTTTCAATGGTTCCCCGACTGATGTCAGTCCATGACTGCTAACGTTTTGTTGTCGTTGCTTTATTCATCTTCATGCTGACTTTAAATAATTAGCTATCACCCTCATCACCAGAAAAGGTTGATTGTGTATCGCCATTCTCATTTGTATCATTAGGATTGCGTACGTGCCATACGGATGACTGACAAGCAACCAATAGACAAATAAATCAAAGAGAGAAGAATCTTCGACATATTTACGTAGGCTTAGGCTGGTACAATATGACAACAGCATCCACTGTACAAGAGGTGGTTATCATACCTCACTGGCCTGGTGGGTAACGCTTTGGCGATTGAAGCGATGAGTATGACGTTCAAGTATCAGTGGGAACAACATCACCCACTGGCGTGGAGGTACATCCAGCTGACAAGTCCGAAATAGGATGAAACGAGCGTACTAAATTTTTCTGCTAGCCACAATCACGTAGATTACAATGATAAATATCCAGGCAATGTCGAGGCATCCGCATAGGATTCCATATGCCGACACAGGTTGATCAATTCGGCTCAGTATAAAAATGAGGAATTACACGCATATGAAAAAAAAATTGTAAGCACAAAGACAGTTGAGAAATCAACAGACAGACATAACAAAACTGTTAATTCTCAAGCATAAGCCATGCATGTTTCAGACCGCGAATGAAGTAATAAGAACTAGGTCAAGAAGGACCTTATCGTTGATTGTACGCAAAAATTGGAATGCCGTATTCGAAAGACAAAGACATTGTATCGTCTACCTTGAATGGACGGCATGATTTGATCAAGACTGAAATGGAACTATGACTCTCCAGGCTGCATAGATCAACCTCATAGTTACGTGCCAGAGCGTCAACATGAAAGAGCTTAATACGGTGCGGTTAAGTGAGGATAGCTCGTGAAAGCCCGATATGTTCTCTGCGCCGAGGACAACGGGCCGATCCCAGTTGCGTACGACGGTGAGTCTTCTCGTGGCCCCGCTGGATATCCACCAAGTTGTCTTAGCAAAAGTCACGGTTGATCAAATCTGTATGCACAATATCAGTGGCATGGGCCTCCAAAGCACGGTTGGTTTCGTTAACCGTCAAGATTTTATACACTTCGCTGGTAGCAATCGAACTGAAAGGTAAGGCGAACCCAGCTTCTGATATCGGTAGGCTTTACTGTTGAATTAATCTTTAGACAGATGTAATCTTACCTTGCAAAAGTGAGCGGTATTCAGTTCGAAATGCCTATATCGCTAGCCCTAGTTTTGACTGAATACCATAGCCCCAGAGAAGCTACTATGAAGAGTTGAGTGTGGTTAGTGAACGGAATATTCAGAGAATATGGATGGGCCAAAACCTGATAGTTACGAGGATTGTGGTATAACACCGACCAGTTCGACAGAGTGTTAACAGAATGCTCTGGCGAGTGTTTTCAGCTTTGGAATCACAGTTGGCCGGTAGCGTTGATGAGAACAACGGTCAGTCACTAATAATGCTGAAAATGCTCTGAGTGGTAAATTAATGATACTCAATTATTAAACTTCCAAATATCAAATTGGTCTTTTTATCATATCAAGCGCTGAAAACCTGAGCGCTGGGAAGCGGCTTCAACATAAGAAGATTTCAAAAATGATGATACCGCAGCTAAGTTCAATCCCTTATGAGACGGACTGGCATACAATGAAACAAAAGTACCTAATTATTGACAAAATTTTAAAATACAATAACTTTAACACATTAATATAGGTGTAAAACTTGGGCACTGTGGCACAATTTAATTCCACATTAGACTTGTTTATTTGATTTATAACACACAGTGAGTGATACAGTATTATTTACACGATGATGACGTTTCGAGCATAAATTATCATTCCTCATAATCAGATCAATCTAATCACACTACTTTCGACATTTGATTTTTATAGTCATGTCACTTTACATGAGTTGTTTTATGTTGGTAGCAAAATTTTCCATATCTCTAGTATAGGTGTTGCGTCATTTCTATTACACATGTGTCGACTGGGAGTTGGTTGATTCGATGAACAAAGATTCAGTAATCAATCTCTCTCTCCATCTGACTATATTGAACTTAAGTACAGTGGTTCTATCCAACCCATCCTATTGTGTGGTTGTATGTTAATGCATGCATAGCAATGGCTGAGTTACCTTCTAGATTATTGATCGTATGTAGGTCTGTTATTCTATATTTAGCTAAATTCCTATATTCCAATATCCTAACTGACCCCAACTGACTAGTTTGACCTATATACTTCACCTCACAGTCATTACATAGTATTTGATAGATCATATTATTTTGCTGAGTCAGTTCTATCGGATCCTTAAGCCGACAAAGTTTATCTCTGAGTTACTTTGCAGGTTTAAATACCACCCTTATTCCAGCCTCGTTGAGGATACTACATGAAGTTTCTGATATTCTTTCCTTATAGGGTAACACAGTGGAGGCTGTGAACTCCCTTTTACTCGTGTTGTCGTTATTAGTCGGACTCGTATGACTGTTATTTTTTCGTTTCTTTGTGTGTCCGTAAGAATGTTTTAATAAACTGTAGAGGATAATTATTGACTATTAGTGTTTCTTACATGTTTCAATTCCTTTATTAGGTCCTTGCATTGACTAGTTAGTTTTCTAACTTTATCATTTAGACATTTGACTAAACCTGCTTTAACTAACATTAGACGGGATGACTTGAAGTCTAGATACCTGTTGGAATGTGTCGGTTTTGTGTAAACGATAGTATCCAAACCACCGTCAATCCTTCATTTTATTTTGCAATCCAACATAGGTAATTCTCTTGTTTATTTTCTACCTTGTAAGTGAATTGGATTGCGCCTGCTATTGAGTTTATATGTGTGAGGAAATTGTCGATATGTTCGGATTTGAGCATAGTAAGTGTTTCATCCACATATCGCCACCCTATTTTTGGTGTAGAACTAAACTTTTGTAAAGCCATGTTTTCCCAACTATCCATAAATATATCTGCTACGATTGGGGATATTGGCGATCCCATTGTATATTTTATCCTGAAACTTGAAGACTATGGAGGTCAGACATAACTGTATCTCTAATATGATCTCATCAACCGACAGCCAAACATAGGAATTTAGCTAAATATAGAATAACAGACCTACATACGATCAATAATCTAGAAGGTAACTCAGCCATTGCTATGCATGCATTAACATACAACCACACAATAGGATGGGTTGGATAGAACCACTGTACTTAAGTTCAATATAGTCAGATGGAGAGAGAGATTGATTACTGAATCTTTGTTCATCGAATCAACCAACTCCCAGTCGACACATGTGTAATAGAAATGACGCAACACCTATACTAGAGATATGGAAAATTTTGCTACCAACATAAAACAACTCATGTAAAGTGACATGACTATAAAAATCAAATGTCGAAAGTAGTGTGATTAGATTGATCTGATTATGAGGAATGATAATTTATGCTCGAAACGTCATCATCGTGTAAATAATACTGTATCACTCACTGTGTGTTATAAATCAAATAAACAAGTCTAATATGGAAGTTTAACACATATATGTGCATTCACCAAACGGTCAGTGAGGTCGAACTCGCGCGAAAAAGCATGTCAGAAGTATCTATGCAAAATCAGTTCACTTCATTCTCTTGTGAAGTAAGGAATTACAAATAACCCCAAGTGATTTGCCTGGTTTCACCATTTTTAAATTCGCGAAGATCAGTTCAGTGAAAAGCTGGCAATCAAAATCTAACTTTGAGTAAATTATTGACGTAGTATAGTCCACTTGGAGACTGGCAGTGGAATGCAATACGCGCGCTTCCTCCTTGTTGACTCGTCAGTTGAATGTACCTGCACCCCAGTGAGCGGCGTTGAGCCCGCGGAGACTTGAACCTTGGACAGATCGTTTCAAATACCAGTGTTATCAACTAGACTACTCCGTTTGAGACGGGCATAGTTTTCATATTGTTGCTAGCTGCTATTTGCCATTACTATCAAACTAATATTATGGGCAATATCGAGGCACCCGAGTAGGAGGCTATATGCCGATAAAGCTTGGTCGGTTTTCTGTCACTGTGATGCAGGTGCGCCCTAAATGGGACGAAATGCACGTCTTGTACTTCACTGCTGACCACTATCGATACGCACCATTGGCTGTCTATTCCAATGATCAACAGAGATGCGGCTTTGTCTTCGCTTAAATCGTAAGGTGTATTTTCCTTGTTCGCATTTCTAATTGTTCATGTAAGTTAGCTAACCAGGCAGATTCAAGTGACGTGAACTAATTCAGCTGTAAGAGCTCGGCCCCAAATGAGCTGAAATGAACAAATCTGTAATCTCTTCAATTTTGGGAACCAATAGACGGGAAGCCCTCCCTCTTCCTAGCTGTCCTCAATAATTTGAGCATGCATCACTCTGTCCTGAAGTCAGACGTCTTACCACTGAGGTAAGAAGGTCACTACCGACCTACTAAAGCATTGGGTTATGTACATGAATAGGTTATCTGTGTAACTGTAACGTCCTATGCGCTAATAGCTTATCAAAGTCTACTGACCAAGTTTGCAATGCTCTGTAGGTGTACGAATTCAATTCGATAACTAATCAAAAGTATGCTCGCTTTTGACTAAAATCCAGTTGCTGAAAACGCCCTGTTACAGAAAAACAGAGTTAAAATGAGAAATTAAACACTGAGACAACAGTTATTTGATGTATACATATATTTATTGCGTTTGACTGATGAAATGATAAGACAATCACAGAAAGAGATATTTTGATGTTTCATTCACAACAACAATATTTCAATCAGCCTTCTATCGCTTATTTTGTAAAATGATGATAATATATATCTGTGATACAACAAGACAACAATAAGGGAATTTAATAGAAGAAACACATTACAAATCCACAAAAATACATACAGATATACTTCTGTCATAATTCACTTTCTATTGTTCAGATATCTTTAGTTTCACAAACACATCAGTAAGGTTAAAGCAAAATGATATAGGCCTACTAATACTACTGCTAGTACTACTCATGAGTAGTATACACAAATGTAGATCAAATGATAAGTAATGCATAGGTGTATAGATTAAAAACTACATAATAGAGATAGAGAGGTAGATGAGATGGTTAGTCAATGAGTAATAGGTGAAATAATGTATCCACTTGTTACAACAGGTAAACATTAAGATACAAGCAGAACTGAGTTTAGCTCAGCTGAATTGAAATGCTCATGTACACTAAGCAAGACAAGAGGACAGACTCAAATTTGTAGTGTAACAAGAACAGTTTGAACATATCCAAGTGATTGTGCATATGTGTGCATGTTATATAAAGATGATATTCATTGCACACTAAGAAAACAATAAGATAGAAATGCCAACAAACCAATTGGTAACATTTTACTTTAATGGATGTAATCTTTTGACGATAAGATAAAGTATTTTTCTGTAAATTATTGCGTAATCATCATCAACTCCATTAATTATTGCATAACACGAGAAACATAAAGCAATAGAACGAATTAACCCATTCTTGTGTGAAAATAATTCAATCACATTCATGAATGTGCAATATTATGTATGCACAAAAACATATTTTTATAATTTAAAAAATCCTTCAAGTATTACCAGTAGCCGTTGTTGTTGGCGTGGTGATACTGCTGACACCGCCAATACTATCACTAGATGAAGAGTAATCAGATAGTGATTCGGTTAAAACACGTGAATTTATTGGTAATGATGGTAATAAGTTATTCACTGTATTCATCAATTGATCAGACAGTAAACCACGTTTATATAAACCATCGGTAAGTAAACGATAGAATAGAATCTGTTCATTTGGTGGTAGAATATAAATTTTTGGCAACAGAGATACTGGACTATGAATGCTGGGTAAAGAACAAAACAAAGGCAACATGACAATAATACTTTGATAGATAGAGAAAAACGGATGCAAATGGATATTTAATGCAGTTAAAGTATGATCAAAGTCGACTACTAGCAGAGATACTCAATTTTCTAAATAGAACAAAAGGTACCACCTCGTTCTAAAATGTAGTTCTGGAAAGTATAATATGAAGGAGGTTACTGAACCTGTAGTTCGAACCCTGTAAGTTTTATAGACTGATATCCTTACCATAGCAGAAATTAATGACAAAATTTGCAGAATAAGTTGACATCACTTTAATTCATACAGGGTGATGATTGAAGGTAAAATGAGAATTCGCAAACCCCAGACGGATTCGAACAAGCGACCACCAACTCAGTTACGAGGTCCGACTGCTGACCAGATCTCTTTTTATATTTCGCTTCAATTACTATGTGAATTTGTGATGCCTTACTACCGCTTGATAGTATTCGCACCGCCTGCTAAATCAAGCGGTAGTAACGCATAACGAATGCACATAGTAGTCGGACAAAACTCTTGGTGATTGAAGTAAAATAAAAATCTATTCAGCAGTTGGATGTCACAGCGTATCTGAGCTGGTAGAGCATCGGCCCGGAAACTCAGTGGTTGATGGTTTGAATCCGACTGTGGTCATAATTTTCATTTTACCTTTAATCATCACCCGATATAAATACTAGTCTGCCGAACTACGGCTATTCCAGATAACCAAATGATAATGATTTCAATCCACGAATACTCCTCAGCTGTTGCATAGTCTAAAAGTACAACAGTTATTACAGTACAGAAGACATTTCAAAATTAAGAAACCAATAATCTTCAGTTTTATAACGAAATTACTTGATAATCTATAGAACGTGTAAGAGAGTTGTTAACTGTACAGAGGGGTAAGAAATGTAAGAATATAGATCCAGAGAAATAAATACCCAACTGTTGAAAACAAGGTTTTTATTCGCCTTACATTCAAGGGAGATGCAAGTATCCAAGAGAATAGACACAAGAATCAAAGAAGCTTTCCTACAGCCAAACTTTGATCGGTATACAATACCTCAAGTGCGCTAAACCAGTCAAATTTGGATAATCACCCTGTCCATGTCGCCTCTGAATGAATCTATAAATTCCCATGCACTTAAGGTAGCAAGTATCTAGTACTACTGCCAGATACATCATAGGTACAGGACATCAGACCAAAACCTCGACTGCTTTTAAAAGAACTAGTGTATAGAAAATGCCTGCATTACCACGCTTAGTGGAAGCGATTGCAATAAACCTATTCCAACCTGAAGCTTACATTACAGAAGAAGAGTGTGGTTAATCTCTTACTCCCTTAGTGATTATAATTTAATCATGTTTACTTTTTATTACATAACTCTTTATTCATTTATTTGCTCATTATTTTTTTCCTTTCTCACACTATCTACTCCTCTGCGTAAGTAATCCTCTTACATGTTATATGGATTATGAGTTTGTTGTACAACTGTAAGAATCAGCTGAGGAGTATTCCTAAAATGAAATGATAATATCATTATTTTATTCTGCAAATCTCATCCTTCTTGCTTCTTAGGTGATACGACTCAATAGAGTGTGTAACTTTGTTTGACATTAAATTATTTCCCTCTTATTAATGAAGCGACTACAAGTTTTCTATCATAGGTATCTTCATAGTATTTGCTCACGTTTCATGGAATCATCGTGTGGGCAAGGTAGAGGTTAGGTGAAGGGTACTACGCAATACAAGCAAGTCAGTCGATGAGATGGTGAAACTTCATCGAATGAAGCGATTTGGATATACACTGTACGTATCCAGCCAATACTCACCTCGACGCGCTAAAAGAAGTTGGATTAGGTTGGAGGAGTGTTCAGGGTGGGGCTAGAACAAAACGTGGTACCAGTCGATGAGATCCCTAACTGTTGATCTCAGCCGTGTATGGAAATGAAGACTTCGCCGTTCGGAGTCCCCTAGACGATAGGAATCAGTTTCTGAGAACCCTTGGTGAAATAGTATAGTTGTTTTTATATGATGCCGTCGTTGCTTGGACCGAATTGATCGGTCTCTATTGGCATACGGGCTCCTGTGCGGATGCCTCGATATTGCCAGCTGACGAGTCCCAAATAGGATGAAATGTGCATCCTGGATTCCACTGCTAACCACGGTCCATCATTAATCTTGGTGAAACAGCTGAAAATCGGTCATATTAAAGCAGATGTATCCACTCTGATATCTTCTAAAGCTAGAGTGTTTCGACTAACTTTGATTGTTAAATTTCCTCTCCTCTCATACACCCTTGTCTACTTTGATATCACTCCTTTTCTATCCACTTGTTCTTTCCTGTTACAATAAAGTGTAGCAGCTTGGACCGATGCACTTTTGTGAGATGTTCTACGTTGGTTTTGTCCATCTGGGTTAAACCATGAAGTAATAATCAACAAATCACTACATATGAAAAGTCTTATAATTCTCAGTAAAGAATCTCCCCACACATTTCTTTGATTCCATTGACATGTTATGCAACTTAATACTATTTTGAAGCGAATCCAGAATCTTTTTCTTGATAGTCATTCATTCATAAACGTTTAATCACTACTGTTTGTGTCTACTATCATTACTCTATATAACTTAGTAAGTGTCCATAAAACCATCTAGCCTGTTGATACAATCTCCAGCACCATATGCCAAAGCTTACGGAACGCCAAACATTGATCATCCATAATCTGAACTAAACATCTCTGGACAGAATGAAAACATATTAGTTGGTTGAAAGTAAACGCGAGGAAGCCCTGCTTGTTGGCACCCACCAGCAAGGTGTATTTGCAATCTCCAGGGTACTGATGTCCCCTATGAGGTTAGGACGAACCCACGTAACTATAACTCAGTTTGTTGGTATATTATTACCAAAATCAAACCCGGAACTAGCAAAAACAACGAACTCTTACAATTGATACTCATCAGTGATGGATGGTAGTGAAATGTGTATACAACAAACAAGATTTTTTTTGATATTTTCATAAAATATCAAACCTTGGTACAAAACATTGTACAAGTCAAAAGGGGTAAACCATAGTGATAATGAGTTAAAACACCTACGACACTTTCAATATGTAACAGTCATCAAGATAAGCAACCATGCTCTAAATCTCAATCTACTACGTTATATAGCTGTCGTTCAGAAACAGGCATACTCCAACCAGATGGAACACATGTTCAGATAACCATAGGCTAAAAGACAGGAAGAGATAATGAATCAATAATGACGACATTCAAAGCCTGGCAAGCTGCTATACTGTTAATTGTGATATGTTTTGATTACGCTTACATGTATGCATTTCAAACTGTTAACTGGAAAGTACAATGATAAAAATCATAGAGTTATTTTCAAGTCCGATATATACTGACCCAATTTATCAGGACACGAATTTTGTTCAAAAAATAATCGGTCAGCTAGTTACAGTCAGTCAGTCCATTTAACCGTTCTATTATATATATATATATATATATATATATATATATATATATATATATATATATATATATATATATACCATATAACTCTTCCCCTGAACAAATTTAAATAGAGCGAGAACAACAGCGTCAGCAGAATAGCACAGATCTATGTTATTTCGCTGTTCCTCATTAGCTGCTTACAACCTGAAACAATTTTGAACAGTACACGAACAAAGATATGCGGAACAAAATGAGCTCCTTTCATTTCATGGCCCTTCATCAGGTACAAACAGCCTACAACTGAAATGAAGTGTTAGTAGTAATAATCACATAACAAACCTTAAATATGTAGAAATAAATAAAGATTTGAAGTCAAGGATTAACAATAAGGTAGTGAGTCAAGGAAACACAAGATTAATAATCACAAATCTTAGTCAAAATCAATGATAATTCATATCTGATGAGATAGAACATTCTGGAGCTGTAGAAACCGGGCGGGTGGGCAGGAACAAACACATAGGAGAATAACAGTAGGGGTTGTCAAAGTGCTAGCAGGTTACGTAATTGCAGTAAAAAAACTGGAAAAACGTTAGATTAAGTAAATAATTAATGAACAGATGATGCAATCAAAAGAAAAGGGAAGACTATACACATACATATACAAAAAATTATAAACAGTCACTTGGGGAAAGAAAGATTAATTACAGTTTCTTCCTGAGCATATAGGTCAGGTTAAAAATGTTCGATGGTGAGAACTTCCACAAACCGTAATAAACATGGTGTTCTTTCAAGTTGTTATTCATCGAAGACTGACATCAGTTGGAGGAACAAAGGACACCTGGGAGCACTGGACAGCTGTTTCGTCCTAGTATGGGACTCCTCAGCAGTGCGCACTCACGACCCCACACCTCCAGGGATCGAACCCGCGACCTTCAGGTTCCGCGGCCAGCGCGTTACCATTGAGCCACTGGGTCAGAATCCAATGCTCCATATTTCCAACTTCTGTTAGCTCACGATATAGCGCGAACCGCCACCCAATGTCATCGCTGAGTATCTGTCCTCACGGCCATCAGGCTTTGACTCCACCGGTCACGACTTGTCATTGGAACTTCGGAACTTCTTTGTTTGCTGATTATTCTGAAGAACTGACAAACATCTATTTAATGTCCCGTATCAATCAGATGGATGGCGATCGTGCTGGTAGAGACCTTACTACCGTTAAGACACAGATTTCTCATAAAATCGGGTAGACGCCCTTCTTTCAGTCCTTAAAATTTATTTACATAAGTGTTTCCATACTTGATTCAGTTTGTTCGAAAACTGTCAGCTTGGATTAAAGATAACACTGATATGACGTAATTGAAATAACACGAACTGAGTGAAAGAATACACAGAGCTAACAGCAAGTTTATATAAGCGCAAAACTTGAGCAATGTGGTAAAATGTAATTCCATTTTAGTTGATTTATTACATTTATTACAAATTGGAACACTAATATTGACTGAATTGCGTTTCAAACATAATTTATTGTCCATAGTCATGTCAAGATGATTACACAACTTTGAGATATCCTTTATACAGTCCTACTTTCCTCGACCCCTTTGTGACATAGGTAGTAAGATTTTCCATATATCCGGAACAGGTGCTGAGTCATTCCTGTTGCGTGTATTAGCTATTGATTGATTCGGTGAACAAAGATTCCGTTATTAATCTCTCCCTTCACTTTGTCCTATCTCATTGTGTGGTTGTATGTAATTGCATACATAGATATGGCTGGGCCTGTTTTTTAAATTCCTTACCTTACTAGAATCTACCAATTTTGACCTAGCTAGGTTTTTGTGTTCGGATAGCCTAAATGACCCTGATCGACTACTTTGACCTATGTATTTGACCTCTCAGTCGTTACAAGGGATTTAGTAAACTAAATTATTCAAAGCTTATTTCTAAGTGAATGAGTAGGCTTAAGTGCCACTCTAATCCCAGCCAGCTTTATTCAGAATCCTATGTAGTATTTCTGAGGTGCTGTCTTTGCATGCTAATACTATAGAGGCTATGAATTCTCTCTTCACAGCATTGCTACCACCATTATTAACATTTCAAGTTGTTATTCATCGAAGACTGACATCAGTTGGAGGAACAAAGGACACCTGGGAGCACTGGACAGCTGTTTCGTCCTAGTATGGGACTCCTCAGCAGTGCGCACCCACGACCCCACCAGCAGGGATCGAACCCGCCACCTTCAGGTTCCGCGGCCAGCACGTTACCATTGAGCCACTGGGTCACAATCCAATGCTCCATATTTCCAACTTCTGTTAGCTCACGATGCAGCGCAAACCGCCACCCAATGTCATCGTTGAGTATCTGTCCTCACGGCCATCAGGCTTTGACTCCACCGGTCACGACTTGTCATTGGAACTTCGGGAATACTTCTCGAAGCTGGTCACCAATGAGCATCAGTTCAATTAAATTTTTTGAGGGGGTTGTGGAGATTTGGAAATATTTCAAGTTGTTATTCATCGAAGACTGACATCAGTTGGAGGAACACATGTGTAATAGAAATGACGCAACACCTATACTAGAGATATGGAAAATTTTGCTACCAACATAAAACAACTCATGTAAAGTGACATGACTATAAAAATCAAACGTCGAAGGTAGTGTGATTAGATTGATCTGACAAATCCAATATGGAAGTTCAACACATATATGTGCATTTACCAAACGGTCAGTGAGGTCGAACTCGCGCGAAAAAGCATGTCAGAAGTATCTATGCACAATCAGTTCACTTCATTCTCTTGTGAAGTAAGGAATTACAAATAACCCCAAGTGATTCGCCTGGTTTCACCACTTTTAAATTCGCGAAGATCAGTTCAGTGAAAAACTGGCAATCAAAATCTAACTTTAAGTAAATTATTGACGTAGTATAGTCCACTTGGAGACTGGCAGTGGAATGCAATACGCGCGCTTCCTCCTCGTTGACTCGTCAGTTGAATGTGCTTGCACCCCAGTGAGCGGCGTTGAGCCCGCGGAGACTTGAACCTTGGACAGATCGTTTCAAATACCAGTGTTATCAACTAGACTACTCCGTTTGAGACGGGCATAGTTTTCATATTGTTGCTAGCCGCTATTTGCCATTACTATCAAACTAATATTATGGGCAATATCGAAGCACCCGAGTAGGAGGCTATATGCCGATAAAGCTTGGTCGGTTTTCTGTCACTGTGATGCAGGTGCGCCCTAAATGGGACGAAACGCACGTCTTGTACTTCACTGCTGACCGCTATCGATACGCACCATTGGCTGTCTATTCCAATGATCAACAGAGATACGGCTTTGTCTTCGCTTAAATCGTAAGGTGCATTTTCCTGTTCGCATTTCTAATTGTTCATGTAAGTTAGCTAACCAGGCAGATTCAAGTGACGTGAACTAATTCAGCTGTAAGAGCTCGGCCCCAAATGAGCGGAATGGCCGTCCGGTGTTTAGGTCACTCTGATCTGGTCAGTGAATGACTACAGACCAGCCTAAGTGGTTTTTTACCACTCAAACTGTTCATTAGTAGTTACTTCATGATACTTTTGTGTAAGAGATCAAGCCTTGTGATCCCAGCTGAGTGGTTCCCAGCGGAAACCTTGTTGACACCGCAGTTGAGTGACACTTGAATAACTACTCAACTGTGGGAAATGTCAGTGTGGATCGTATGATTTGTAAATCATTTGCAAACTCATTTTAATTCAAACCATTAGTGACATGTTTGAGTAACATCATCTCAAAGACTGACTTTTCATATCAACAAGAATGGATCAGCTGAAATGAACAAATCTGTAATCTCTTCAATTTTGGGAACCAATAGACGGGAAGCCCTCCCTCTTCCTAGCTGTCCTCAATAATTTGAGCATGCATCACTCTGTCCTGAAGTCAGACGTCTTACCACTGAGGTAAGCAGGTCACTACCGACCTACTAAAGCATTTGGTTATATACATGAATAGGTTATCTGTGTAACTGTAACGTCCTATGCGCTAATAGCTTATCAAAGTCTACTGACCAAGTTTGCAATGCTCTGCAGGTGTACGAATTCAATTCGATAACTAATCAAAAGTATGCTCGCTTTTGACTAAAATCCAGTTGCTGAAAACGCCCTGTTACAGAAAAACAGAGTTAAAATGAGAAATTAAACACTGAGACAACAGTTATTTGATGTATACATATATTTATTGCGTTTGACTGATGAAATGATAAGACAATCACAGAAAGAGATATTTTGATGTTTCATTCACAACAACAATATTTCAATCAGCCTTCTATCGCTTATTTTGTAAAATGATGATAATATATATCTGTGATACAACAAGACAACAATAAGGGAATTTAATAGAAGAAACACATTACAAATCCACAAAAATACATACAGATATACTTCTGTCATAATTCACTTTCTATTGTTCAGATATCTTTAGTTTCACAAACACATCAGTAAGGTTAAAGCAAAATGATATAGGCCTACTAATACTACTGCTAGTACTACTCATGAGTAGTATACACAAGTGTAGATCAAATGATAAGTAATGCATAGGTGTATAGATTAAAAACTACATAATAGAGATAGAGAGGTAGATGAGATGGTTAGTCAATGAGTAATAGGTGAAATAATGCATCCACTTGTTACAACAGGTAAACATTAAGATAAAAGCAGAACTGAGTTTAGCTCAGCTGAATTGAAATGCTCATGTACACTAAGCAAGACAAGAGGACAGACTCAAATTTGTAGTGTAACAAGAACAGTTTGAACATATCCAAGTGATTGTGCATATGTGTGCATGTTATATAAAGATGATATTCATTGCACACTAAGAAAACAATAAGATAGAAATGCCAACAAACCAATTGGTAACATTTTACTTTAATGGATGTAATCTTTTGACGATAAGATAAAGTATTTTTCTGTAAATTATTGCGTAATCATCATCAACTCCATTAATTATTGCATAACACGAGAAACATAAAGCAATAGAACGAATTAACCCATCTCTTGTGTGAAAATAATTCAATCACATTCATGAATGTGCAATATTATGTATGCACAAAAACATATTTTTATAATTTAAAAAATCCTTCAAGTATTACCAGTAGCCGTTGTTGTTGGCGTGGTGATACTGCTGACACCGCCAATACTATCACTAGATGAAGAGTAATCAGATAGTGATTCGGTTAAAACACGTGAATTTATTGGTAATGATGGTAATAAGTTATTCACTGTATTCATCAATTGATCAGACAGTAAACCACGTTTATATAAACCATCGGTAAGTAAACGATAGAATAGAATCTGTTCATTTGGTGGTAGAATATAAATTTTTGGCAACAGAGATACTGGACTATGAATGCTGGGTAAAGAACAAAACAAAGGCAACATGACAATAATACTTTGATAGATAGAGAAAAACGGATGCAAATGGATATTTAATGCAGTAAAGTATGATCAAAGTCGACTACTAGCAGAGATACTCAATTTTCTAAATAGAACAAAAGGTACCACCTCGTTCTAAAATGTAGTTCTGGAAAGTATAATATGAAGGAGGTTACTGAACCTGTAGTTCGAACCCTGTAAGTTTTATAGACTGATATCCTTACCATAGCAGAAATTAATGACAAAATTTGCAGAATAAGTTGACATCACTTTAATTCATACAGGGTGATGATTGAAGGTAAAATGAGAATTCGCAAACCCCAGACGGATTCGAACAAGCGACCACCAACTCAGTTACGAGGTCCGACTGCTGACCAGATCTCTTTTTATATTTCGCTTCAATTACTATGTGAATTTGTGATGCCTTACTACCGCTTGATAGTATTCGCACCGCCTGCTAAATCAAGCGGTAGTAACGCATAACGAATGCACATAGTAGTCGGACAAAACTCTTGGTGATTGAAGTAAAATAAAAATCTATTCAGCAGTTGGATGTCACAGCGTATCTGAGCTGGTAGAGCATCGGCCCGGAAACTCAGTGGTTGATGGTTTGAATCCGACTGTGGTCATAATTTTCATTTTACCTTTAATCATCACCCGATATAAATACTAGTCTGCCGAACTACGGCTATTCCAGATAACCAAATGATAATGATTTCAATCCACGAATACTCCTCAGCTGTTGCATAGTCTAAAAGTACAACAGTTATTACAGTACAGAAGACATTTCAAAATTAAGAAACCAATAATCTTCAGTTTTATAACGAAATTACTTGATAATCTATAGAACGTGTAAGAGAGTTGTTAACTGTACAGAGGGGTAAGAAATGTAAGAATATAGATCCAGAGAAATAAATACCCAACTGTTGAAAACAAGGTTTTTATTCGCCTTACATTCAAGGGAGATGCAAGTATCCAAGAGAATAGACACAAGAATCAAAGAAGCTTTCCTACAGCCAAACTTTGATCGGTATACAATACCTCAAGTGCGCTAAACCAGTCAAATTTGGATAATCACCCTGTCCATGTCGCCTCTGAATGAATCTATAAATTCCCATGCACTTAAGGTAGCAAGTATCTAGTACTACTGCCAGATACATCATAGGTACAGGACATCAGACCAAAACCTCGACTGCTTTTAAAAGAACTAGTGTATAGAAAATGCCTGCATTACCACGCTTAGTGGAAGCGATTGCAATAAACCTATTCCAACCTGAAGCTTACATTACAGAAGAAGAGTGTGGTTAATCTCTTACTCCCTTAGTGATTATAATTTAATCATGTTTACTTTTTATTACATAACTCTTTATTCATTTATTTGCTCATTATTTTTTTCCTTTCTCACACTATCTACTCCTCTGCGTAAGTAATCCTCTTACATGTTATATGGATTATGAGTTTGTTGTACAACTGTAAGAATCAGCTGAGGAGTATTCCTAAAATGAAATGATAATATCATTATTTTATTCTGCAAATCTCATCCTTCTTGCTTCTTAGGTGATACGACTCAATAGAGTGTGTAACTTTGTTTGACATTAAATTATTTCCCTCTTATTAATGAAGCGACTACAAGTTTTCTATCATAGGTATCTTCATAGTATTTGCTCACGTTTCATGGAATCATCGTGTGGGCAAGGTAGAGGTTAGGTGAAGGGTACTACGCAATACAAGCAAGTCAGTCGATGAGATGGTGAAACTTCATCGAATGAAGCGATTTGGATATACACTGTACGTATCCAGCCAATACTCACCTCGACGCGCTAAAAGAAGTTGGATTAGGTTGGAGGAGTGTTCAGGGTGGGGCTAGAACAAAACGTGGTACCAGTCGATGAGATCCCTAACTGTTGATCTGAGCCGTGTATGGAAATGAAGACTTCGCCGTTCGGAGTCCCCTAGACGATAGGAATCAGTTTCTGAGAACCCTTGGTGAAATAGTATAGTTGTTTTTATATGATGCCGTCGTTGCTTGGACCGAATTGATCGGTCTCTATTGGCATACGGGCTCCTGTGCGGATGCCTCGATATTGCCAGCTGACGAGTCCCAAATAGGATGAAATGTGCATCCTGGATTCCACTGCTAACCACGGTCCATCATTAATCTTGGTGAAACAGCTGAAAATCGGTCATATTAAAGCAGATGTATCCACTCTGATATCTTCTAAAGCTAGAGTGTTTCGACTAACTTTGATTGTTAAATTTCCTCTCCTCTCATACACCCTTGTCTACTTTGATATCACTCCTTTTCTATCCACTTGTTCTTTCCTGTTACAATAAAGTGTAGCAGCTTGGACCGATGCACTTTTGTGAGATGTTCTACGTTGGTTTTGTCCATCTGGGTTAAACCATGAAGTAATAATCAACAAATCACTACATATGAAAAGTCTTATAATTCTCAGTAAAGAATCTCCCCACACATTTCTTTGATTCCATTGACATGTTATGCAACTTAATACTATTTTGAAGCGAATCCAGAATCTTTTTCTTGATAGTCATTCATTCATAAACGTTTAATCACTACTGTTTGTGTCTACTATCATTACTCTATATAACTTAGTAAGTGTCCATAAAACCATCTAGCCTGTTGATACAATCTCCAGCACCATATGCCAAAGCTTACGGAACGCCAAACATTGATCATCCATAATCTGAACTAAACATCTCTGGACAGAATGAAAACATATTAGTTGGTTGAAAGTAAACGCGAGGAAGCCCTGCTTGTTGGCACCCACCAGCAAGGTGTATTTGCAATCTCCAGGGTACTGATGTCCCCTATGAGGTTAGGACGAACCCACGTAACTATAACTCAGTTTGTTGGTATATTATTACCAAAATCAAACCCGGAACTAGCAAAAACAACGAACTCTTACAATTGATACTCATCAGTGATGGATGGTAGTGAAATGTGTATACAACAAACAAGATTTTTTTTGATATTTTCATAAAATATCAAACCTTGGTACAAAACATTGTACAAGTCAAAAGGGGTAAACCATAGTGATAATGAGTTAAAACACCTACGACACTTTCAATATGTAACAGTCATCAAGATAAGCAACCATGCTCTAAATCTCAATCTACTACGTTATATAGCTGTCGTTCAGAAACAGGCATACTCCAACCAGATGGAACACATGTTCAGATAACCATAGGCTAAAAGACAGGAAGAGATAATGAATCAATAATGACGACATTCAAAGCCTGGCAAGCTGCTATACTGTTAATTGTGATATGTTTTGATTACGCTTACATGTATGCATTTCAAACTGTTAACTGGAAAGTACAATGATAAAAATCATAGAGTTATTTTCAAGTCCGATATATACTGACCCAATTTATCAGGACACGAATTTTGTTCAAAAAATAATCGGTCAGCTAGTTACAGTCAGTCAGTCCATTTAACCGTTCTATTATATATATATATATATATATATATATATATATATATATATATATATATATATATATATATACCATATAACTCTTCCCCTGAACAAATTTAAATAGAGCGAGAACAACAGCGTCAGCAGAATAGCACAGATCTATGTTATTTCGCTGTTCCTCATTAGCTGCTTACAACCTGAAACAATTTTGAACAGTACACGAACAAAGATATGCGGAACAAAATGAGCTCCTTTCATTTCATGGCCCTTCATCAGGTACAAACAGCCTACAACTGAAATGAAGTGTTAGTAGTAATAATCACATAACAAACCTTAAATATGTAGAAATAAATAAAGATTTGAAGTCAAGGATTAACAATAAGGTAGTGAGTCAAGGAAACACAAGATTAATAATCACAAATCTTAGTCAAAATCAATGATAATTCATATCTGATGAGATAGAACATTCTGGAGCTGTAGAAACCGGGCGGGTGGGCAGGAACAAACACATAGGAGAATAACAGTAGGGGTTGTCAAAGTGCTAGCAGGTTACGTAATTGCAGTAAAAAAACTGGAAAAACGTTAGATTAAGTAAATAATTAATGAACAGATGATGCAATCAAAAGAAAAGGGAAGACTATACACATACATATACAAAAAATTATAAACAGTCACTTGGGGAAAGAAAGATTAATTACAGTTTCTTCCTGAGCATATAGGTCAGGTTAAAAATGTTCGATGGTGAGAACTTCCACAAACCGTAATAAACATGGTGTTCTTTCAAGTTGTTATTCATCGAAGACTGACATCAGTTGGAGGAACAAAGGACACCTGGGAGCACTGGACAGCTGTTTCGTCCTAGTATGGGACTCCTCAGCAGTGCGCACTCACGACCCCACACCTCCAGGGATCGAACCCGCGACCTTCAGGTTCCGCGGCCAGCGCGTTACCATTGAGCCACTGGGTCAGAATCCAATGCTCCATATTTCCAACTTCTGTTAGCTCACGATATAGCGCGAACCGCCACCCAATGTCATCGCTGAGTATCTGTCCTCACGGCCATCAGGCTTTGACTCCACCGGTCACGACTTGTCATTGGAACTTCGGAACTTCTTTGTTTGCTGATTATTCTGAAGAACTGACAAACATCTATTTAATGTCCCGTATCAATCAGATGGATGGCGATCGTGCTGGTAGAGACCTTACTACCGTTAAGACACAGATTTCTCATAAAATCGGGTAGACGCCCTTCTTTCAGTCCTTAAAATTTATTTACATAAGTGTTTCCATACTTGATTCAGTTTGTTCGAAAACTGTCAGCTTGGATTAAAGATAACACTGATATGACGTAATTGAAATAACACGAACTGAGTGAAAGAATACACAGAGCTAACAGCAAGTTTATATAAGCGCAAAACTTGAGCAATGTGGTAAAATGTAATTCCATTTTAGTTGATTTATTACATTTATTACAAATTGGAACACTAATATTGACTGAATTGCGTTTCAAACATAATTTATTGTCCATAGTCATGTCAAGATGATTACACAACTTTGAGATATCCTTTATACAGTCCTACTTTCCTCGACCCCTTTGTGACATAGGTAGTAAGATTTTCCATATATCCGGAACAGGTGCTGAGTCATTCCTGTTGCGTGTATTAGCTATTGATTGATTCGGTGAACAAAGATTCCGTTATTAATCTCTCCCTTCACTTTGTCCTATCTCATTGTGTGGTTGTATGTAATTGCATACATAGATATGGCTGGGCCTGTTTTTTAAATTCCTTACCTTACTAGAATCTACCAATTTTGACCTAGCTAGGTTTTTGTGTTCGGATAGCCTAAATGACCCTGATCGACTACTTTGACCTATGTATTTGACCTCTCAGTCGTTACAAGGGATTTAGTAAACTAAATTATTCAAAGCTTATTTCTAAGTGAATGAGTAGGCTTAAGTGCCACTCTAATCCCAGCCAGCTTTATTCAGAATCCTATGTAGTATTTCTGAGGTGCTGTCTTTGCATGCTAATACTATAGAGGCTATGAATTCTCTCTTCACAGCATTGCTACCACCATTATTAACATTTCAAGTTGTTATTCATCGAAGACTGACATCAGTTGGAGGAACAAAGGACACCTGGGAGCACTGGACAGCTGTTTCGTCCTAGTATGGGACTCCTCAGCAGTGCGCACCCACGACCCCACCAGCAGGGATCGAACCCGCCACCTTCAGGTTCCGCGGCCAGCACGTTACCATTGAGCCACTGGGTCACAATCCAATGCTCCATATTTCCAACTTCTGTTAGCTCACGATGCAGCGCAAACCGCCACCCAATGTCATCGTTGAGTATCTGTCCTCACGGCCATCAGGCTTTGACTCCACCGGTCACGACTTGTCATTGGAACTTCGGGAATACTTCTCGAAGCTGGTCACCAATGAGCATCAGTTCAATTAAATTTTTTGAGGGGGTTGTGGAGATTTGGAAATATTTCAAGTTGTTATTCATCGAAGACTGACATCAGTTGGAGGAACACATGTGTAATAGAAATGACGCAACACCTATACTAGAGATATGGAAAATTTTGCTACCAACATAAAACAACTCATGTAAAGTGACATGACTATAAAAATCAAACGTCGAAGGTAGTGTGATTAGATTGATCTGACAAATCCAATATGGAAGTTCAACACATATATGTGCATTTACCAAACGGTCAGTGAGGTCGAACTCGCGCGAAAAAGCATGTCAGAAGTATCTATGCACAATCAGTTCACTTCATTCTCTTGTGAAGTAAGGAATTACAAATAACCCCAAGTGATTCGCCTGGTTTCACCACTTTTAAATTCGCGAAGATCAGTTCAGTGAAAAACTGGCAATCAAAATCTAACTTTAAGTAAATTATTGACGTAGTATAGTCCACTTGGAGACTGGCAGTGGAATGCAATACGCGCGCTTCCTCCTCGTTGACTCGTCAGTTGAATGTGCTTGCACCCCAGTGAGCGGCGTTGAGCCCGCGGAGACTTGAACCTTGGACAGATCGTTTCAAATACCAGTGTTATCAACTAGACTACTCCGTTTGAGACGGGCATAGTTTTCATATTGTTGCTAGCCGCTATTTGCCATTACTATCAAACTAATATTATGGGCAATATCGAAGCACCCGAGTAGGAGGCTATATGCCGATAAAGCTTGGTCGGTTTTCTGTCACTGTGATGCAGGTGCGCCCTAAATGGGACGAAACGCACGTCTTGTACTTCACTGCTGACCGCTATCGATACGCACCATTGGCTGTCTATTCCAATGATCAACAGAGATACGGCTTTGTCTTCGCTTAAATCGTAAGGTGCATTTTCCTGTTCGCATTTCTAATTGTTCATGTAAGTTAGCTAACCAGGCAGATTCAAGTGACGTGAACTAATTCAGCTGTAAGAGCTCGGCCCCAAATGAGCGGAATGGCCGTCCGGTGTTTAGGTCACTCTGATCTGGTCAGTGAATGACTACAGACCAGCCTAAGTGGTTTTTTACCACTCAAACTGTTCATTAGTAGTTACTTCATGATACTTTTGTGTAAGAGATCAAGCCTTGTGATCCCAGCTGAGTGGTTCCCAGCGGAAACCTTGTTGACACCGCAGTTGAGTGACACTTGAATAACTACTCAACTGTGGGAAATGTCAGTGTGGATCGTATGATTTGTAAATCATTTGCAAACTCATTTTAATTCAAACCATTAGTGACATGTTTGAGTAACATCATCTCAAAGACTGACTTTTCATATCAACAAGAATGGATCAGCTGAAATGAACAAATCTGTAATCTCTTCAATTTTGGGAACCAATAGACGGGAAGCCCTCCCTCTTCCTAGCTGTCCTCAATAATTTGAGCATGCATCACTCTGTCCTGAAGTCAGACGTCTTACCACTGAGGTAAGCAGGTCACTACCGACCTACTAAAGCATTTGGTTATATACATGAATAGGTTATCTGTGTAACTGTAACGTCCTATGCGCTAATAGCTTATCAAAGTCTACTGACCAAGTTTGCAATGCTCTGCAGGTGTACGAATTCAATTCGATAACTAATCAAAAGTATGCTCGCTTTTGACTAAAATCCAGTTGCTGAAAACGCCCTGTTACAGAAAAACAGAGTTAAAATGAGAAATTAAACACTGAGACAACAGTTATTTGATGTATACATATATTTATTGCGTTTGACTGATGAAATGATAAGACAATCACAGAAAGAGATATTTTGATGTTTCATTCACAACAACAATATTTCAATCAGCCTTCTATCGCTTATTTTGTAAAATGATGATAATATATATCTGTGATACAACAAGACAACAATAAGGGAATTTAATAGAAGAAACACATTACAAATCCACAAAAATACATACAGATATACTTCTGTCATAATTCACTTTCTATTGTTCAGATATCTTTAGTTTCACAAACACATCAGTAAGGTTAAAGCAAAATGATATAGGCCTACTAATACTACTGCTAGTACTACTCATGAGTAGTATACACAAGTGTAGATCAAATGATAAGTAATGCATAGGTGTATAGATTAAAAACTACATAATAGAGATAGAGAGGTAGATGAGATGGTTAGTCAATGAGTAATAGGTGAAATAATGCATCCACTTGTTACAACAGGTAAACATTAAGATAAAAGCAGAACTGAGTTTAGCTCAGCTGAATTGAAATGCTCATGTACACTAAGCAAGACAAGAGGACAGACTCAAATTTGTAGTGTAACAAGAACAGTTTGAACATATCCAAGTGATTGTGCATATGTGTGCATGTTATATAAAGATGATATTCATTGCACACTAAGAAAACAATAAGATAGAAATGCCAACAAACCAATTGGTAACATTTTACTTTAATGGATGTAATCTTTTGACGATAAGATAAAGTATTTTTCTGTAAATTATTGCGTAATCATCATCAACTCCATTAATTATTGCATAACACGAGAAACATAAAGCAATAGAACGAATTAACCCATCTCTTGTGTGAAAATAATTCAATCACATTCATGAATGTGCAATATTATGTATGCACAAAAACATATTTTTATAATTTAAAAAATCCTTCAAGTATTACCAGTAGCCGTTGTTGTTGGCGTGGTGATACTGCTGACACCGCCAATACTATCACTAGATGAAGAGTAATCAGATAGTGATTCGGTTAAAACACGTGAATTTATTGGTAATGATGGTAATAAGTTATTCACTGTATTCATCAATTGATCAGACAGTAAACCACGTTTATATAAACCATCGGTAAGTAAACGATAGAATAGAATCTGTTCATTTGGTGGTAGAATATAAATTTTTGGCAACAGAGATACTGGACTATGAATGCTGGGTAAAGAACAAAACAAAGGCAACATGACAATAATACTTTGATAGATAGAGAAAAACGGATGCAAATGGATATTTAATGCAGTAAAGTATGATCAAAGTCGACTACTAGCAGAGATACTCAATTTTCTAAATAGAACAAAAGGTACCACCTCGTTCTAAAATGTAGTTCTGGAAAGTATAATATGAAGGAGGTTACTGAACCTGTAGTTCGAACCCTGTAAGTTTTATAGACTGATATCCTTACCATAGCAGAAATTAATGACAAAATTTGCAGAATAAATTGACATCACTTTAATTCATACAGGGTGATGATTGAAGGTAAAATGAGAATTCGCAAACCCCAGACGGATTCGAACAAGCGACCACCAACTCAGTTACGAGGTCCGACTGCTGACCAGATCTCTTTTTATATTTCGCTTCAATTACTATGTGAATTTGTGATGCCTTACTACCGCTTGATAGTATTCGCACCGCCTGCTAAATCAAGCGGTAGTAACGCATAACGAATGCACATAGTAGTCGGACAAAACTCTTGGTGATTGAAGTAAAATAAAAATCTATTCAGCAGTTGGATGTCACAGCGTATCTGAGCTGGTAGAGCATCGGCCCGGAAACTCAGTGGTTGATGGTTTGAATCCGACTGTGGTCATAATTTTCATTTTACCTTTAATCATCACCCGATATAAATACTAGTCTGCCGAACTACGGCTATTCCAGATAACCAAATGATAATGATTTCAATCCACGAATACTCCTCAGCTGTTGCATAGTCTAAAAGTACAACAGTTATTACAGTACAGAAGACATTTCAAAATTAAGAAACCAATAATCTTCAGTTTTATAACGAAATTACTTGATAATCTATAGAACGTGTAAGAGAGTTGTTAACTGTACAGAGGGGTAAGAAATGTAAGAATATAGATCCAGAGAAATAAATACCCAACTGTTGAAAACAAGGTTTTTATTCGCCTTACATTCAAGGGAGATGCAAGTATCCAAGAGAATAGACACAAGAATCAAAGAAGCTTTCCTACAGCCAAACTTTGATCGGTATACAATACCTCAAGTGCGCTAAACCAGTCAAATTTGGATAATCACCCTGTCCATGTCGCCTCTGAATGAATCTATAAATTCCCATGCACTTAAGGTAGCAAGTATCTAGTACTACTGCCAGATACATCATAGGTACAGGACATCAGACCAAAACCTCGACTGCTTTTAAAAGAACTAGTGTATAGAAAATGCCTGCATTACCACGCTTAGTGGAAGCGATTGCAATAAACCTATTCCAACCTGAAGCTTACATTACAGAAGAAGAGTGTGGTTAATCTCTTACTCCCTTAGTGATTATAATTTAATCATGTTTACTTTTTATTACATAACTCTTTATTCATTTATTTGCTCATTATTTTTTTCCTTTCTCACACTATCTACTCCTCTGCGTAAGTAATCCTCTTACATGTTATATGGATTATGAGTTTGTTGTACAACTGTAAGAATCAGCTGAGGAGTATTCCTAAAATGAAATGATAATATCATTATTTTATTCTGCAAATCTCATCCTTCTTGCTTCTTAGGTGATACGACTCAATAGAGTGTGTAACTTTGTTTGACATTAAATTATTTCCCTCTTATTAATGAAGCGACTACAAGTTTTCTATCATAGGTATCTTCATAGTATTTGCTCACGTTTCATGGAATCATCGTGTGGGCAAGGTAGAGGTTAGGTGAAGGGTACTACGCAATACAAGCAAGTCAGTCGATGAGATGGTGAAACTTCATCGAATGAAGCGATTTGGATATACACTGTACGTATCCAGCCAATACTCACCTCGACGCGCTAAAAGAAGTTGGATTAGGTTGGAGGAGTGTTCAGGGTGGGGCTAGAACAAAACGTGGTACCAGTCGATGAGATCCCTAACTGTTGATCTGAGCCGTGTATGGAAATGAAGACTTCGCCGTTCGGAGTCCCCTAGACGATAGGAATCAGTTTCTGAGAACCCTTGGTGAAATAGTATAGTTGTTTTTATATGATGCCGTCGTTGCTTGGACCGAATTGATCGGTCTCTATTGGCATACGGGCTCCTGTGCGGATGCCTCGATATTGCCAGCTGACGAGTCCCAAATAGGATGAAATGTGCATCCTGGATTCCACTGCTAACCACGGTCCATCATTAATCTTGGTGAAACAGCTGAAAATCGGTCATATTAAAGCAGATGTATCCACTCTGATATCTTCTAAAGCTAGAGTGTTTCGACTAACTTTGATTGTTAAATTTCCTCTCCTCTCATACACCCTTGTCTACTTTGATATCACTCCTTTTCTATCCACTTGTTCTTTCCTGTTACAATAAAGTGTAGCAGCTTGGACCGATGCACTTTTGTGAGATGTTCTACGTTGGTTTTGTCCATCTGGGTTAAACCATGAAGTAATAATCAACAAATCACTACATATGAAAAGTCTTATAATTCTCAGTAAAGAATCTCCCCACACATTTCTTTGATTCCATTGACATGTTATGCAACTTAATACTATTTTGAAGCGAATCCAGAATCTTTTTCTTGATAGTCATTCATTCATAAACGTTTAATCACTACTGTTTGTGTCTACTATCATTACTCTATATAACTTAGTAAGTGTCCATAAAACCATCTAGCCTGTTGATACAATCTCCAGCACCATATGCCAAAGCTTACGGAACGCCAAACATTGATCATCCATAATCTGAACTAAACATCTCTGGACAGAATGAAAACATATTAGTTGGTTGAAAGTAAACGCGAGGAAGCCCTGCTTGTTGGCACCCACCAGCAAGGTGTATTTGCAATCTCCAGGGTACTGATGTCCCCTATGAGGTTAGGACGAACCCACGTAACTATAACTCAGTTTGTTGGTATATTATTACCAAAATCAAACCCGGAACTAGCAAAAACAACGAACTCTTACAATTGATACTCATCAGTGATGGATGGTAGTGAAATGTGTATACAACAAACAAGATTTTTTTTGATATTTTCATAAAATATCAAACCTTGGTACAAAACATTGTACAAGTCAAAAGGGGTAAACCATAGTGATAATGAGTTAAAACACCTACGACACTTTCAATATGTAACAGTCATCAAGATAAGCAACCATGCTCTAAATCTCAATCTACTACGTTATATAGCTGTCGTTCAGAAACAGGCATACTCCAACCAGATGGAACACATGTTCAGATAACCATAGGCTAAAAGACAGGAAGAGATAATGAATCAATAATGACGACATTCAAAGCCTGGCAAGCTGCTATACTGTTAATTGTGATATGTTTTGATTACGCTTACATGTATGCATTTCAAACTGTTAACTGGAAAGTACAATGATAAAAATCATAGAGTTATTTTCAAGTCCGATATATACTGACCCAATTTATCAGGACACGAATTTTGTTCAAAAAATAATCGGTCAGCTAGTTACAGTCAGTCAGTCCATTTAACCGTTCTATTATATATATATATATATATATATATATATATATATATATATATATATATATATATATATACCATATAACTCTTCCCCTGAACAAATTTAAATAGAGCGAGAACAACAGCGTCAGCAGAATAGCACAGATCTATGTTATTTCGCTGTTCCTCATTAGCTGCTTACAACCTGAAACAATTTTGAACAGTACACGAACAAAGATATGCGGAACAAAATGAGCTCCTTTCATTTCATGGCCCTTCATCAGGTACAAACAGCCTACAACTGAAATGAAGTGTTAGTAGTAATAATCACATAACAAACCTTAAATATGTAGAAATAAATAAAGATTTGAAGTCAAGGATTAACAATAAGGTAGTGAGTCAAGGAAACACAAGATTAATAATCACAAATCTTAGTCAAAATCAATGATAATTCATATCTGATGAGATAGAACATTCTGGAGCTGTAGAAACCGGGCGGGTGGGCAGGAACAAACACATAGGAGAATAACAGTAGGGGTTGTCAAAGTGCTAGCAGGTTACGTAATTGCAGTAAAAAAACTGGAAAAACGTTAGATTAAGTAAATAATTAATGAACAGATGATGCAATCAAAAGAAAAGGGAAGACTATACACATACATATACAAAAAATTATAAACAGTCACTTGGGGAAAGAAAGATTAATTACAGTTTCTTCCTGAGCATATAGGTCAGGTTAAAAATGTTCGATGGTGAGAACTTCCACAAACCGTAATAAACATAGTGTTCTTTCAAGTTGTTATTCATCGAAGACTGACATCAGTTGGAGGAACAAAGGACACCTGGGAGCACTGGACAGCTGTTTCGTCCTAGTATGGGACTCCTCAGCAGTGCGCACTCACGACCCCACACCTCCAGGGATCGAACCCGCGACCTTCAGGTTCCGCGGCCAGCGCGTTACCATTGAGCCACTGGGTCAGAATCCAATGCTCCATATTTCCAACTTCTGTTAGCTCACGATATAGCGCGAACCGCCACCCAATGTCATCGCTGAGTATCTGTCCTCACGGCCATCAGGCTTTGACTCCACCGGTCACGACTTGTCATTGGAACTTCGGAACTTCTTTGTTTGCTGATTATTCTGAAGAACTGACAAACATCTATTTAATGTCCCGTATCAATCAGATGGATGGCGATCGTGCTGGTAGAGACCTTACTACCGTTAAGACACAGATTTCTCATAAAATCGGGTAGACGCCCTTCTTTCAGTCCTTAAAATTTATTTACATAAGTGTTTCCATACTTGATTCAGTTTGTTCGAAAACTGTCAGCTTGGATTAAAGATAACACTGATATGACGTAATTGAAATAACACGAACTGAGTGAAAGAATACACAGAGCTAACAGCAAGTTTATATAAGCGCAAAACTTGAGCAATGTGGTAAAATGTAATTCCATTTTAGTTGATTTATTACATTTATTACAAATTGGAACACTAATATTGACTGAATTGCGTTTCAAACATAATTTATTGTCCATAGTCATGTCAAGATGATTACACAACTTTGAGATATCCTTTATACAGTCCTACTTTCCTCGACCCCTTTGTGACATAGGTAGTAAGATTTTCCATATATCCGGAACAGGTGCTGAGTCATTCCTGTTGCGTGTATTAGCTATTGATTGATTCGGTGAACAAAGATTCCGTTATTAATCTCTCCCTTCACTTTGTCCTATCTCATTGTGTGGTTGTATGTAATTGCATACATAGATATGGCTGGGCCTGTTTTTTAAATTCCTTACCTTACTAGAATCTACCAATTTTGACCTAGCTAGGTTTTTGTGTTCGGATAGCCTAAATGACCCTGATCGACTACTTTGACCTATGTATTTGACCTCTCAGTCGTTACAAGGGATTTAGTAAACTAAATTATTCAAAGCTTATTTCTAAGTGAATGAGTAGGCTTAAGTGCCACTCTAATCCCAGCCAGCTTTATTCAGAATCCTATGTAGTATTTCTGAGGTGCTGTCTTTGCATGCTAATACTATAGAGGCTATGAATTCTCTCTTCACAGCATTGCTACCACCATTATTAACATTTCAAGTTGTTATTCATCGAAGACTGACATCAGTTGGAGGAACAAAGGACACCTGGGAGCACTGGACAGCTGTTTCGTCCTAGTATGGGACTCCTCAGCAGTGCGCACCCACGACCCCCCACCAGCAGGGATCGAGCCCGCCACCTTCAGGTTCCGCGGCCAGCGCGTTACCATTGAGCCACTGGGTCAGAATCCAATGCTCCATATTTCCAACTTCTGTTAGCTCACGATATAGCGCAAACCGCCACCGAATGTCATCCTTTGTTCCTCCAACTGATGTCGGTCTTCGATGAATAACAACTTGAAATATTTCCAAATCTCCACAACCCCCTCAAAAAATTTAATTGAACTGATGCTCATTGGTGACTAGCTTCGAGAAGTATTCCCGAAGTTGCAATGACAAGTCGTGACCGTGGAGTCAAAGCCTGATGGCCGTGAGGACAGATACTCAACGATGACATTGGGTGGCGGTTTGCGCTATATCGTGAGCTAACAGAAGTTGGAAATATGGAGCATTGGATTCTGACCTAGTGGCTCAATGGTAACGCGCTGGCCGCGGAACCTGAAGGTGGCGGGCTCGATCCCTGCTGGTGGGGGTCGTGGGTGCGCACTGCTGAGGAGTCCCATACTAGGACGAAACAGCTGTCCAGTGCTCCCAGGTGTCCTTTGTTCCTCCAACTGATGTCAGTCTTCGATGAATAACAACTTGAAATATTCCCAAATCTCCACAACCCCCTCAAAAAATTTAATTATTAACATTATTATTACTACTATTAATATCTGTTACTACTATTTTGCTTAAGATTGTTGAGGAATTCATCAATTAATTCGCAAGGGTAACTGATAATGACTAAACTGTCTTTATTGTATCCGGTTTCTTGTCTTTAGATCTTGGGTTTTTTGGCTCTGTTACTAAAAGCTAATATGAGCAGAATTCAGATAATTAGGTCAAGGATGTGAATTGTAAAATATAAAAACAACCAAGTTGTATGAATCGACAAGAATATGGGAAAAAACATGATGACTGTCAACAACACAAAAGTTTTTTTACCATAGTAGACATACACTGATAACTGTTTCATACTGAATACAAAATTTCGGTTTTTAATCGTTTAATGGCTACTGTTTTAGTCACAAGTCTGAATTCATGTGTTCATTAATTATTTTAAGCAATTTCTGGATATCAACTTCATGTCCCCTATGATTAAGGGCTGAAGACTTTTCCACCCCTCAGTAGCAAATTTCTTAGAATATGTTCAGACATGTAATCATAAACTCTTCTTTCTGTTCATTCAATGATTATGCTTTGGTATGAGGTTGAAGGTAACATGAAGAGGGGACTTGTCAACCTTTGATTGACTTAGTAGGTAATTCGTTCGGTAGAGTGCGATTAATCTAACAGCTAGATAAGTCCTTTTTAAGGCAAAATTTATTTTGTAATTAATTCTACTAAAGGAAACTCTATATATCTATGATATCCTGCTAAAACTGTTGTTTTCGCAACATTTAAACACAAAGATACTCGGAAAACAACTTACCGAACAAATGAATTATAATAGAATAATACAAATGTTCCAATTAATACTTGACAATCAAAACGATCCACTACACCACCATGACCAGGGAAAAGATCACCAAAATCTTTGATTTTAAATGCTCGTTTAAAACCGCTAGCAAAGAAACCACCGAATGGACCAACAACTGATGTATATACACTGATAATTAAACAATGCTGTAGAAATGGATACCATGTGAACTGACGCACAGGAAGAAAGAACTATTTACAAAAGATTTTTTTAAATAAAAAAAAAGGCAACAGAAGAAAATGAAAACTTTCATTATGTAGTTGTGGATTGAAAATGAATCCATAACTGTTAAAAGAATGAAACTATCAAATGTTATTGAAAATTTAGTCGATAAGAATATACTTCCATCATGGATAATCTACTCGCTAAATTGCATCAATCGGAAAGTAATCCATTCAGCCACTTTGTGTATATCGGTGCATTAGGTAATAAGTTGCATCTTATTGTTTAAGGGGCAAGTGATACTATCTGATTGCCCAAACCTCGGTAAATGGAGCAGAATTCAAACCTGTAACATACCGGTTGATAATCATCTCCCTAAACCACTGAATCATAACTCCACACAACAGACAGTTAGCATCAACACGAATCCTGATATTTCTATGAAATGGTTCAAGTTGCCAGAACAAATCACAATATACAAGGCACTAAGGTGAAAGATGGGGAAACAAAGTCAAAAATTAATTAGTAAGAAGTTTTAAAAAGAAAGGAGAATGAATAAAATGATAACTAAATTCGGTATGATGATTTAGATAATCTGTGTATGCATCCTACGCTAGTAGGATTGATTCTCAACCATATCACCTCCCGACCACTGATTTTGGTCGTCACGTGGACAACAACTCAGAAGTCCATAATTCCCTACGCTATGCAGACTAATAGACGGATATCATGTTTTAGTTTGGTCATCTTCAACTGTTTTTCTAGCCTATTAAATCATACTTATTGATATAGTTGATAATGAAGTGGACTTTATGTACAAACAATGTTTAGTGTATAGTTCACAACAATGAGTAACTGAACTAATATAAATAAATAGTGAGAAGTGAAGAAATATGTAATTATAGAAAGTGATTTAAACGAATGAACCTATGACCTCTTGAAATTGTAAATGTAAAGACGAGTCCTAAATAGAATGAAATGTGCATCTTGAACTCTACTGCTAGCCAATATACATCATTAATATAAAAATAAAACGAAAGGTAATAACTGAGGCATCCACACAGGAGTTCCATATAGAAATCGATTGATTCGGTTCAATCAATGTCAGGATAATATCAGGCAACAACATAAATTATTTCCACTCTTATTATTCTAACCGTTTTATGATAAAATATTCGCTTGCATTTCTACCCTTCTGGTAAATTCATGTCAATCTTTAAACTAATCACTCACTTGACACAATGCAACCTTCAACGTTTCCCATTAAATTCTCTTTCCTCATACTGTATACATAATCACTAAGCCTGATCATTAATCAATTAACATTTAAATTATCACTGTAACTGATTATTATTATTATTATTATTATTATTATTATTATTATCATTATTATTAGTAATCCCTTGGGTTCTGAGTGGAACATAGGGCTTCAGTAGCACGTCTCCAGTGAACTCTGTTCTCTGAGATCTCTTGAACCTGGTTCCACGACAGCCCACAACCTCTCATTTCCTCCTCACACGATCTCCTCCATGTCACCCTCGGCACCGATGTCCAACTCGTCGCTTCCCATCTCGGTTCCACTCGACGACCTGGCCTGACGCGTGATGTCCGCCGTCGGCCTTCTCAGTGTATGCCCAATCCATCTTCACTTCCTTCCAGTGCATATTTGTTGGGTGATAGCTTCTTGGTTGGTTCGTTCCCAGAGCTCCTTGTTGCTTATTCTTTCTGGCAATCCATCTGATCTTCAGTAGCGAGCCAGAGTAAGCAGTTGTTGATGAATGTCTGTAGTTTATTGAAAATCCCTTTCGTAACGCGCCAAGTCTCTCAACCATACAGAAGCACTGACTCGACGTTGGTGTTGGTGTTGAAAATCCGGATCTTGTTCCACATGCTGAGTGCAGAAGATCTCCACACTGGTTTCAGGCTAATGAACCCCTATCTTGCTTTACCGATTCTGACTTTGACATCCTCGTCTGTGCCGCCTGTAGTTGAAACGGTGCTGCCTAGATAGGTGAAGGAGGTTACTTCCTTTAAGTTTCTCCCGTTGATGGTGATTGGAGTTTGTTGTAACTGATACATATGAGATATTGATAATAATAATTGATGACTGAAAGGGAAATGAAAATCTGGATGATGGTAGGATTCGGGCCATATATGCACACATGTAAGTAACGTTATCATCCATGAACTTAAACAATTTAACTGATATCCAACATGTTGCCATGTTGTAAGCTTAATGTGGCACTCTAGACTAAAACTGTATAGCAGTGGAATCCATGATACGCACTTCGTCCTACTTGGGACTCGTCAGCTGGATGTACCTGCCTCCCAGCGAGTGATGTTGTCCCCGTCGGGACTCGAACTCGCGACGACAGCCACTCCTTGCGCGACGAGTATAGTTTTAGTGTTAGAACACAGACAATATCGAGTTATCCACGCAGGAGCCGATAAACTGACAGAGACCCATCATCATCATTATCAACATAGGACCAGGAATTTACTGCATCACGGTCCGAGTTGCCACACCTCATATCAGCACATCAAGTAAAAAGGTAGTGGAATGAAAGATGAAGATAAGTGAATGCAGTCAAAAGAAATATAAAGTACGAGAAGAAAGGAAAGAGGATTGACAAAGTGGTGAGATTCGGCATAGCGTCGTTAAGATGAGGATAATATGTGTATACATCTGCGCCACTGACTTCGGTTCTCAACCATGCCATCACCTAGGGTCTCCAACCACTGGTTTCTCTTGTCCCGCAGACCACAACCACCTAGTCTGCATCGTCCCACATGGCTCAAACCAACAGTCAGACACTTCATACATTGCTGCCATGTTTTACTCTGGCCACCTCGGGCCTTTTTCCAGCCTGGACCCAACTCAGCCAACATTGTGTAACAAGGCAATTGGTGACTAGGCATACGTAACACGTGTCCCAATCATCTCAGTCGATGAAGGTTCATAACCTCGTCAACTGACTTACCTCTTCTCCGTAAAACTCTACACCTGACTTCTGCATTACTCACGTGGTGTGGTGACACCACGGAATACGTTCTATACTACGAAGGCAACGGTGGTCAAACACCTGAAGCCTTTTTATATCTTCCACTTTCAATGGCCATGTCTCACAGCCATACAATAGAACAGAGTGGACGAGATTACTTACTTACTTACTTACGAGATTACTGACAATTATGCTGAAAATATCACTTACTTTACACATTGTTAGAACAGAATAATGACAACTAACATCAGCTACACTATATAACAAGCTTACTTAGTAATACGCCGGCAACTTAACTGTAATTATAGTCTACTCTAAAATGTATTCGCCGCAAATTTGATTATATTTATATGCTAACAAATTTGATTTTATAGCTGCAGAATTTGAAGAGAAGTTATTGAAAAGAATATTCTTCGTTCATATTTGATTTCTTAGCATATATTTTAGTCAATTATTGTGTCTTTAACCTCGCCTGGTTAACTAGTTTACTAGTTACTAGCCGGTCCTAAGCCCGGGTAAAGAGGGAAGGTTGGGCATAGGGCTAGCAACCCTACCCCGTAAAACAAATCTAACCGCTAAAGAAACTTCAAAGCACAAACAAAATATAAAAAATGAAAACAAACTTATTCCCCGCTGGAATCGGAGAGGCGAAATGACGCCAGTTGGTGAAAGCCTTCGGGAAGCCAATTGGCCGATGTGTCTTCTCTCGATGAAAGCGAAAGTAAACGTGGGGACATGGAATGTCCGCACGATGTTTGAACCCAGTAAGGCAGCCCAGATTGCAAAGGAGATGAGAAGGTATAACATCGAAGTGCTTGGGATTTGCGAAAGCAGATGGAATGGGAGTGGACTCTCCAAACTGTCAACTGGAGAATCAATAATCTACTCCGGTCACCCAGACGCCAACCACGAGCACACTGAGGGAGTGGCTATCATGATGTCCTCAAGAGCATCGAAGGCTCTCATGCAGTGGGAACCAATCTCCTCCAGGATCATGACAGCAAGATTCAACTCAAAAGGAAGAAAGGTCACAATCATACAATGTTATGCACCTACAAATAATGCAGAGCAAGAGAAAAAGGAGGAATTCTACAGACAACTTCAATCAACACTGGACAAGACGTCAGTTGGCGATATCAAAATTCTAATGGGCGACATGAATGCCAAACTGGGAGGGGACAACACGGGAAGAGAACTAACCATGGGTCGAGAGGCACTAGGTGAAATGAATGAGAATGGAGAATTGTTTGCAGAATTCTGCGCATTCAACGATTTGGTGATTGGAGGCAGTGTGTTCAGGCACAAAGATATCCACAAAGCGACATGGATTTCACCAGATGGACACACTAAAAATCAAATCGACTTTATCTCAATCTCAAGAAAATGGAGACGCAGTCTACTTAACACAAGGTCAAGAAGAGGAGCAGATGTAGGTTCAGACCACTACCTAGTGCAAGGAACCTTCCAAATCAAGTTAAAAGCCTTCAAGGAAGCTGGTGATAGACCTCAACCCAAGTACAACACTCGGAAACTGAAGGATGAAACTACAAAGGAGATCTTCATGGCAGCCATCAAGACAAAATGGGAGACGTCGAGGGACATCCCTGAAGAAACCTGTGTGGAAGAACACTGGAAGTCTTTGAAAGCTATGTGGAAAGAAACCTGCACAACAGTATTAGGAAGGAAGAAGAAAGAAGACAAGGAATGGATCTCGACGGATACCTGGAAGCTGATAGAGGAGAGGAGGATGGTGAAGCAGAAGATAAACCAGTGCAAGGATGCTCAACGACAAGAGGAACTGAGCACAATGTATAAAACACTGGACAAAGAAGTGAAGAAGAGTGCACGCAAAGACAAAAGACACTTCTACGAAACACTGGCAAGTGAAGCAGAACAGGCTGCAGGTAAGAGAGACCTGACGACATTGTATCAAATAACCAGGTTGCTATCAGGGAATAGACCAACACAGATGAAACCAATAAAAGATGAAGAAGGAAATTTAATTACGAAAGAAGAGAAACAGAGGAAACAATGGGCCGACCACTTCAAGAAGCTCTTGAATCGACCACCACCTGCACTTCGTCCAGAAATACCACCTGCAGCCGCTGAACTACAAGTGAACATTAATCCCCCAACGAAAATGGAAGTCCTGAACGCCATAAAGCTACTGAAATGCGGGAAAGCAGCAGGACCAGATGGAATACCGCCAGAAGCACTGAAAACAGATGCAGAGACAACAGCGGCCATGCTCACACCACTATTGCAGAAGGTGTGGAAGGAAGAGAAGGTACCTGACGATTGGAAGAAGGGTTACCTTGTCAAACTGCCGAAGAAGGGAGACCTCAGTGCTTGCAAGAACTGGCGCGGAATCACTCTCCTGTCCACCCCAAGTAAAATATTAAGCCGCATCATCCTGGAGAGGCTAAGGGATGCACTGGATTCAAAACTACGACCGGAACAGGCAGGCTTCAGGAAGTACAAATCATGTGCAGACCAAATTGCAACGCTTCGTATCATCATAGAACAGAGCATAGAATGGCAATCACCTCTCCACCTCAACTTCATCGACTTTGAGAAGGCCTTTGACAGCGTCGACCGAGAAGTAATTTGGAAACTGCTTCAATACTACGGAGTACCGCAAACCTTTATCCGCCTCATTCAACAACTATATGAAGATGCTACATGCCAAGTAATCCACAATGGGAAGCTCAGTGATGCCTTTGAAGTGAAGACAGGAGTGAAACAAGGTTGCCTACTATCCCCCATGATATTCTTGATTGTGGTGGACTGGATCATGCAGCAAACAGTAGGCAGCGAGAAGAGGGGGATACACTGGACGACGGAAAAGAACCTAGAAGACTTGGATTTCGCCGATGACTTATGCCTAATGTCACATAAACTTGAAGATCTGCAGGCAAAAACTAACAAGTTGATAGAAGAGGCAGCGAAGACGGGACTTCAAGTGAATATAGAGAAGACAGAAGTGATGAAGATACCGCACCACCACCATCAACAACAACAACAACAAACTCCAATCACCGTCAACGGGAGAAACTTAAAGGAAGTAACCTCCTTCACTTATCTAGGAAGCACTGTTTCAACTACAGGCGGGACGGACGAGGACGTCAAAGTCAGAATCGGAAAAGCAAGACAGGCGTTCATCAGCCTGAGACCAGTGTGGAGATCTTCTGCACTCAGCATGCGGAACAAGATACGGATTTTCAACACCAACGTAAAGTCAGTGCTCTTGTATGGCTCAGAGACTTGGCGCGTCACGAAAGGTATTTCCAATAAACTACAGACATTCATCAACAACTGCTTACGCTCGCTGCTGAAGATCAGATGGCCAGAAAAAATAAGCAACAAGGAACTCTGGGAACGAACCAACCAAGAACCTATCACGCAACAAATATGCAGGAAGAAGTGGAGATGGATTGGCCATGCACTGAGAAGGCCGACGGAGGACATCACGCGTCAGGCCCTCGAGTGGAATCCCCATGGGAAGCGACGAGTTGGACGTCCGAGGGTGACATGGAGGAGGTCATGCGAAGAGGAAATGAGAGCTTGTGGGCTGTCGTGGGACCAGGTTCAAAAGATCTCAGAGAACAGAGGTCACTGGAGGCGTGCTACTGAAGCCCTATGTTCCACTAGGAACCCAAGGGACTAATAATAATAATAATAATAATTGTGTCTTTATTTTAACAATCTACTAAGAAGTGGTTTTTGCACTATTATTTTTATAATCATTCTCCTGATACGTTATTCGAACGAACGAAATGCACCCAACAACCCTGTGCACATCCGTGCAGTAGGTAGTGACCCACACCTATTGTGTAAGGGCGAATGACACTATCCGGCTGCCCAAACCCCCATAAGTGGAGCGGGGTTGGAATCCGTGAACCAATGGTTGATGATAGTCACCTCTTTAAACCACTGAGATACAACTCAACTTCATCCTATTCAATAGTCGTTAATTATCTGTTTGTTAACCCTAATTCTTTATTTTGGGGCTTAAATGTACATTTGTACATTATTGTGTCTTGAGGAGAGGTTATTTTGCTGTATAAACGCGTTAATTGCAAAAATCTTTTAAAAAAAGACCACTAGATAAAAGGACTGAGGATTTTTGGTTCGTAAGTGAGATAAAAGTGTTGACAACTACAGCTATACTTAGATAATAAAAAAAAAGGTAATGACTACATGACAGTGTTTTCTGTCCTCATCAGTAGTAATCAATTAATACAAGCCAAAGTGGACAGTACGTGCTGTAACATTGCTTCATCAACTGAGGAATGAACGATCAGAGTATTATCATCAGCCTGTCAAACATATATAGGGCCCATAGCGGTGTACTACAGAACTACGTCCTTTTCTATTGTTTTGTATGCTAAACAGTTGTCCTATCTTCATTTTGAAACAGTCAGTGGATTTCACTCCCATCAACTTTCAAACTGTGAAGCTATAGATCATTTGGTTTAGATACTCGATTTGTGTTCAACCAGTAGGTCATACTTGCTAGAATGTATATATCTAGGTAGGATTATCAGCCTTAACATAATGTGTGGCTTATGATCTAGAGCATGAGCCCACATGTGGTTGCTGAGGTAAATGTCCCCTTTTTTTTGTCCAATCATCTCATGATAATAATAATAATAATAATAATAATCTAATCATCCGTTAAAATCTCATTAGGTTCGATCTAGAAAGAGGTTGAAGTAAAGCAAATGAAGAGAAGCTAACTAAAACGAAACAACAGCGGTTGTTCAGTTTTTTCCCAACCTTTCCTTATTATTCAATTATAACACACTAACAAGTTATCGAAAAATACAACTAGTAGTATAAAATTAAGTAATAAAAGAGGAGAAACTTACTAAAACCTTCGGTAGATTGTATGTTTGAGCTATAAACACAGGATTTCTTGTACAATTCATTGTTAGCGCACCCTTAGTATCATCCCATTCAATTGGACAAACAAAGAAATCAAACTTCAATAAAAACATATGAGAATAATAGTCCAAATAGAATTGTTGACAAACCACCTCCAATAAAGCCTTCCCATGTCTTTTTAGGTGATAATTTAATCAAAGGAGTTTTTCCATAGAAAAATCCGAACACATATGCCATAATATCATTACATATAACCAGACAGACAGGCAAAAGGAACCTAAAAAGAATAAAACAAATTAAATACACATAAGTAGAACACTACATATATAGGGTGGTGGTTGAAGATGAAATGAAAATCTGGACCACATCCGGACTCGAACCAGCGACCATTGGGTTTTCGGCCTGATGCTCTACCAACTCAGCTACGAAGCCCGACTGCTGACCAGATTTTTATTTCACTTCAGTTACTAAGGGTTCTGTCCAACTACCATGTGAATTCATGACGCGTTACTACTGCTTAATCGTATTCACACTGGCTGCTTAGATAGTAACGTATGACGAATTCACATGGTAGTAGAGCAAAACCGTTAGTGATTGAAGTGAAATGAAAATCTGGTCAGGAGCTGGACTCGTAACTCAGCTGGTGATAAAGTGGAGCCATGGTTAATTGGTTTAAAGGACCAGTAGGTCACGGATTCAAAGCCCACTTCATCCACAGAGGTTCGTGGAGCCAATTAATATTATTAACTAGCATACTATAGTTGTGGATCATTGCCTATTGCAAGAATGTGCTCAAGTTTGCTGAGTGCATTTCGATTTTGATCGACAAGCGTTTACAGTTAATAAAAAAACTTTACTGATCACAGAAATGATGGAAAAACAGAAAATCACTAAGCTGTGTTTCAGGAATCGTAAGACTTCGTATTCTGAAGCTTGGTCACTTCAGTGCATTAGTGCTAGACAGGTAGATCAACATAGAACCTTTCACAAAATAATCTACCGACTGAAGTTGTCACTGGTTTCAATTCTATTGTTATGCTTCAGTCACGGAATTGAAGGATATCCTGAAACAAATTCAGTGCGTCATGATGTTATCATGTGAAACTACATCATAAATAAGTTATCCTTATACTTTAGCCCCAGAGACACCGAGCAATGAACAGTAATGAAATAAATCAGGATAGATTTCATAGCATATATCGAATTCAGCGAAAAATGTCTTTCACAACGGCTTCATACACTGAATAAGGATGATGACAAGGTTAAAACGCACTTCTATACAGATACCAGTCATCCAACACAATACAGTCGTTGAATAAGTCTCATCTAGTAAGTTAAGAATTGAAATCCCTGGGTAGGTGGGTTGTGAAACCGATCATTAACAGTTTAATTACGGTTGAAAAGGTAAAATGTGACCGACAATATGGTGAAACACAGTTATGGTGCCACTGGATAAAATCAGTGACTGTTAATTGTTACTGTGTATAGGTCTCCCGATTAGACTCCTTGAATTCTTAGAATCTTCCAGCTGGAGACATCACGTATTACAGTTCAAATCGATTACAACAGCACATATATACATTTATATATAAGGCTGGTAAATTTTAGACTTTTTATAAGAACTCTTTATCTACTCATTCCCCTCCCCCCCTCCCCAACTGTTTATTTTCTCTGTATGTACTGAACTTAATACCAATATTTAAACTGTATCCAGAAATATCATCTAGTACCAATGGGATCAAATCAACGAGTAACCAAACGCCTCGATTCTAGTGAATGCTGATATGATACAGAATCTAACTGAAACGATATACTTTCGAATTGAATAATGGAAAAATATACAGGGGACTTTTGTATACTCATCTGAATTTTTCCATTTAACTACTTTTAAATCTGGACAAGATAGGAGATGAAGATACATAAGGTTTGATTGGCAATGAACAGAATGAGTTTCTATCGGATCAACGTAAAACCTTTCGTAGAAGTAAAATCTCTAACCAATTGTCTGGTAGACCCCAGGACAAGCGGCCTATACCCTTTTGCATGTCTCAGATAGACAGTTAGTAGGTTTAGTGGATTGGTTTGATTAATCAATCCAGGCGCCAAATTTAGAGAGTAAAATTAAAAATTCCGGGTAGATTTGAGATTGTTTTTTGAAGATGTAATTCAGAAAATAACTGAATTCTTGGTTATCTGGGGGAAAATAGTCAAATAGTCAATATTTTCTGCAATAATTAACTGAAAAAACGGTTGAAAAAGTATGTGACCTTATAATATGGAAATAATCAATAAATTTAATACAAAAAAGTACATTGAATAATTTAAACAATCGTAACACAGTTAGTTTCCAAGCACTTGATCAAAATTCAACATTGAAACAAACAAAAGAAGAAAAAGAATAGAAGGGAAACGAGGGGTGAAACTTACCAAATTAATCCGTTAAAAATATTTGCTATGCAGAAGTATGATGAGGTCACAAAGATGAGCAATGTGACATGAGTCCATCCAAACTAAATAATATAAAAGAAAAGAAAATTAGTAAATAATTTCAACTTGGTAACAGTTAACAACCATTTGAATATAAGAATATCAAGGCCAGAAAGAATAAGCAACAGGGAACCCTGGCCTACCAGCCAACCAACCAAGAACTCATTGCCCAACGAATATGCAGAAGAAAGTGGAGATGGATTGGATTGGACATACACTGAGAAGACCATTTAGGGACATCATGCACCAGGCCAGGCCATCGAGTGGAACCGAAATGGGAAACGACCAGTTGGGCGTCCCAGCTGAGGGTGATACGGAGAAGATGGTGTGAAGAAGAAATGAAAGCTTCTAAGCAGTCGTGGAGCCAGGTTGAAAAGACCACAGAGGACAGAGTGCAATGGAGGCGTGCTACTGAAGCCCCATGTTCCACTAGGAACCCATGGGGAAAAAAAATAATAATTAGGCTTCAACATTGTATGAAACAATTATTATTATTATTATTAATATCATTATTATTATTTATATTATTATTATTATTACTATTATTATTATTATTATCTGTGCTTAGGGTTCTTAGTGGAACATAAGGCTTCAATAGCACGTTGCCATTTCACTCTCTTTTCTGCAGTCTCCTTGGCCTGGCTGCATGACTGCCCATAAGCTTTCATTTTTTCTTCACATGATCTCCATGTCACCCTAGGTTCAGACGCCCAACTCGTCGTTTCCGATTTCGGTTCCACTCGACGGCCTGGCACGTAACGTCCCCAATTGGCCTTCTCAGTGTATGCCCAATCCATCTCCACTTTCTTCTGCATATTTGTTGGACGATAGGTTATTGGTTGGTTGTATGAAACATTCTACCTATATGCTATGACAGGAGAATACTGTCAGCAGTCAGTGACTAACTCAATAACTTGTCACTGTTTAGTACTATAACTAGTAATTCCCGGATTCATTCGGATCGAAATTATGGTATTAAACTACACCTACCGTAAAAGGAATTGCGGTAGTAACATAGTAGCCTGTTGGGTAGCGTTCTCTCGTACTCAAAGTGATTAGTATTTGGTTCAAGTATCCAGTGGGGAATGATAACATTGCACTGGAAGTTAGGTGAATCTAGCTGATGAATCTACGCTTTAAATCCTGCTGATAGCCACTATTCATAACTGCCATCAAAACGGATTTATTTATTACTTAAACTATGCATAAGTATGATACGCAGGAACAAGTGTTAGATCCCAGTTATCTCACTAATTACTTTATCACAAAGCGACAACGTCTAACATCATCTCGTTCCAACAGTACAAAGTGGTGTTGTAAGATTCAGAACTACCATAACTACTGTTGAAACCAGGTCCAGGTACAACGTTACAATCCTCAGTTTTACAACATTTCAGTTGAAGATAATTACGACTGAACAAGAATCACCAGCTGGAAAGAGATGCTTCACTGAAGGTTGTTCATTATGTGAGACTATTTCGCGTAAGACTAATCGTTGTTGTTAATTAACATTATCCCTTGAAATTAGCAACTGAATGATTACAATAGCTTCAATATAAGGTTTTCGTTAGTATGACATATCTATAAAGTTCCATGCTATTATTACTACTGGTGCTGACTGAAGGAGTCCAAATGCTATCAGTTTTAGTTAAGGCCTATTCATTCTAACTAGTTAACCAGACAACTAAGTAGTAATGTACACTTTGAAAATATCATTATTTCCTAAAACTTCGACCTGAAAATAGTGTTTCAGAAAAATAGAACTCCTATCGAATTCTAAATCTGGCTCAACTAATCCATTCCGTCAACAGTGGTTAATTCGTAAGTTTACACTAAAACTAAAATACAGACATGAAATTATGTTCTGATAAGGGTGTTGACGATTAGCCTCACTGAATAGTAGACAAATAGATCAATGTAGAACCTTACACAGAAGTGCATGGGTTCATGTTGTCACACTTCACAGCAGGATGTAAAGAATAAGTGCATAGGAAAAGTGATATCAAAGTAGGCGAAATAGTATGAGAGGAGACAGCCAACCAACCACTGATGCCTATCGTCATGAGGACCGCAACAAGGAACTCTACATCTCCTTCCTTATATGTCTCAGAATAACAGAACTCATTTGGCTACTCTCCTTCTTCTCTAACATACGCCTACTTCAGTTAGTATTACACGTCAAGGTGGGCGGTAGCTCGACAAGTACAACACATCCAGGATACCTTAGTCAGTGAATGTTAACGTCCTGATAGACCAAGTTACCCTACCTGCTTAGTACGCCAAGTCTAACTTCGATACTGCACACGAGGTGATTCCATCATACGCCAGAAAAACAATGAAAACACGTATATTCAAAAACATGTAACCTCTTCAGATCTCATATTTTCAACAGCTACGTCTTACAGACGTATAACAAGGCATGGCAAACTGCAGTGGAGTATAGTTGCGTACTATAACACCTATTCAAATATCTTGCCAAAGACGGAGTAATTTGACAAATGCACAAGTGGCTTTTGCATCTAAGCTGAGATTCGTCAAAAACCAACCGATTTCCGCTGATGCAACTAAACAAAAGAAGTGGTCAACACATTCGTTCATATCATATATATAGGGCACTGAGGTCCAGGTTGGATGCTAGGCAACGTTTCTGTGCGCCAGTCGAACCTTGCTTCAAAGCGTTCTGTCTAAAGTCCTAACCATCTGTTCTTACAGGTTATCGTAGTCCCATCCTTTCCAGTGATGGTCTCACTAACTATAGTCTTCTTCTTGTCAGTCAACTTAATAAACCTAAATAACTGCCGGGTATTACCTATGGTTGATACTTTCTACATCTCTTTTGTTTTCACCACCCAACACTGCTCCTGATCATTTGAAATGATCTTAATCAAGTAAACTTATAATAGATTTGCTCTTCATTGTGGGCACAGCCAGTTGAATTGATCAGTTCTGATGATGTTACATAAATCCAATGGCTTTCACTAACCTCTTCATGTATATCACCAACTTTCCTAACCTCACTTTCTACAGTAAACTGAAGATTGTGCCTGACTTCATGAAAATGAGAATTGTTGCCATGTTTAGAAAAGTGCTTGGCTATCTTCTCCCTTAAATACATACTTGACGTCTTCTTTTTTCAGTCAGGCATACGGAGACCTTACTGCTGCCTGTTTCCTATGCCCATTAGGTCACAAATATACACATCCCCGCATTAACGCATCACCGAAGTTCAAGCAGGCACTTCAGGAAGAGCAGCAACACTTTATCGATCCTCTCCAACGGTGGCCTACAGCAATATGATCTATGTCCATCGTTGGTTTGATTTCGGTAGATGAGAAGTGAGACAAATATCACGACCTTTTCCAGTGTTTACAGATCCATTCAGTTAGGCAGCACACAGATCGCTGTCAACTGGTAATCAGTTGAAAAGTGAGCTATCTGCTCGACAAACTAGATGCTATGCCTTCATTAGCGAATCTGAATACTTGTAAGGTAAGCGTGGTAGATTCAGTACATTGGCCAAATGAGGTAAAGGAATAACTACACTTGTGTCTTGCTTACACGTTTCAGAAACACGACTAGCACGCACGGTTCGAGATGCCAGAGTTTGGGTAAGAGACGCCTACTATGTGATTTGGCCTAGGATTCAGATGCTGAAAGCCTTAATGTGAAATCGACAGCGAGGTTTTAAGAAAATAGCAATGGTTTCTTACTAGCTTGGGTCGCTAGCCATGGTTACTGAGTAGTTGAGGAAACTATTAAGGGTGTAATGATGGCATCAATTAGTGAGGACAAGTGAGGAGAGAAAGCAAGCAAGGTAGTTTATGGTAATATGGCTTTTATATGCTATCAGAGATTGTGAGCACTTGATATCTCCCAAATGCACACATAGTGGAAGTTGTTTCTAAAAAGTACCTAGAAGAGAGAAAGGATTAGTTTTGTGTGATCGCACTGTCCATGAGACATCTGCTTGAGACCGATCACACAAGGTTTTTTTTTGGAAGTTTGAGGTTTAGCTTTGATTGACTTAAATCCAGTTAGAAAACCCATACCGCCGAGACAAGACACCACACAGCACCAGAGAGTTTACTAGTTCCTGAGACCGTTTTTTCTAACCATCCTTCCTATGAACAAGGCAGCATCAGTATGGATTCCCGATCATCTACAGGAAAAATTTTACTCTTGTCACGCCCCAGTACAACCAGGGGAACGACTTCGCCTTTATCTCCACTATAGCATGGTAATTTACACAGAAACAGTAATTTTTCGTTTTACTACCATCCAACAGATCTTTCTAGTATTGTAGAACCTCGGGGAAGAAACATCCCCACCCTGGAAATGCTCTAGATCAATGATAATCAGACTCGGTGTCAGAACATGCCACACCCATTTCATGGGCTCTCATAGTCACACCTCACGTCCGGTGACAGGATAGGCAGTAGACCCGGTTATAAACGGATTTTCCTATCCTGCCTCACTGTATAGCAGCTGAGTATATCACTTATTGGTCATGTTTCCATTAACTGACCGCAATCAGTTTGAATCATTATTATTGTGATTACTGGGGACAGTATATGTTGTAAGTTTTTCATTTAGAAAATGCACAAAACTGGAATGAGGCTTGAAAGGAAGATGTCAACAATGCATAATATATGCAGTGGAATCAGAATTCCCGAATACACAACTAAGATCTAAATACATGCAATAATCAAGGTAGCCGTACAAAAGAGTCCGTATACTGATAGAAACCGACCACCTATCTCATTCTGTAAATTAATAACGGGGGAAAGATGAAGAATTCCAATGACAAAATGATACCAGTTGAACAAATATGTACCGTAATACAGAAGCCTAGGAGATTATCTTTTGTCGTTTGAAACAATACATGGTAGATATGAGTCTCAGTTGGAAAACCAACACACAGAAATGCAAGTACAAGTAGGTACGAAGAAACATGGGTACTGAATTCCACTACCTACTTTTACTGGATGTATTCTCCTACGATGCCATTGAAAGTAAACGAAAACTAAGAAAATATTACTATCAACACTAAGGCTATTGAACGCATACAACAAGTAGTGGGTACTACTCAACTGAGTGGAAATACATTGATTTTAACCACTACAAATGAACAGGAAAAAACAACAAAAAGTCTGAAGTAGAAAATATGAACCAATGGATTCCGACCCAGTGGGTCAACGGTAACGTCCCAGCTCCGCAACCTGAAGGTCCTGGGTTCGACTTCTGGAGGGGTGGCTCATGAATGTGCACTGCTGAGAAGTCCCGTACTAGGACGAAACAGCTGCCTAGTCCCTCCAGATTTCCAATGTTCCTCCGACTGATGTCATTCCATGATAAATATCAAATTGAAATCATAAATCACTCACCAGTGTGAATTGTTTAATATAATGTCTTTTCACTAAGCTTAAAACAAATCCAACAATTCCTGCACAATAGAGTGAGAATGAAATGAATTGATGGTGTGTTATCCACGGTTGGAGAAAATCCTATTGGGATAATTGCAAAAAAAAAGACAACATGGGGAACAGATATTTAGCTTCGACAAAACAATGATGAGATTGTGAATAGTGTAGAGGCGAGAAAACATTCGCATGAATTCTTAGACTTGTTCTCACTTACCAACAGTATTGTATAGGTAGTTATGATTAATTGTTCTCGTCATTCGGCTTCTAACCAATGAGTGACAGATTCGAACCCTGCGCTTAATCCCAGTGTGTAGGTAGTCAGTTCATCTCAGGGAGTCTTAGACAATAAGGCTTCAGTTACTGTGTAGTTGGTTCATAAATGTGAATATACTTGACAAGTCACATCAAATTATCATAACATTAATAACTGGCTGTATTGAACCGAAAATATAACAACAAGTCGAAGTTTAACAATTATGGCAGGATGCTAAAAATTCACTATAACCAATAAATATATTTCTCAACCACGAAAAAATCGGATACATAGATTTTAAAGTAGTCGACAAGGATCAATTAGAATAGCAGTGAACAAAAACTTAGCTAAATAGAGATTAGTATACCCTACTAAGATAAGGAATTTGGAGAAAAGCTTGTCTATACCTATGCACACAATCACACAATAGAGTAGGATAGAACGACAATACTAAAAGTTCAACTTAGTAGATTGGAGGGAGAAATTTATGACCGAATCTTTGTTTGTCGAATCAACACCGAATATATACAACAGGAATGGGTCTACATGTGTCCCAGATATATGGGAAATACTACTACCCTTATCACAAAGAAGGAGAACGGATTACAACTATATAAAGTGTGTCTCGAAGTTGTGAAGTTAGTTACCTGATATGAATTTGGACAATAAATTATATCCAAAATGTTATCCAGTAAATAATACCGTTTTACTGTGGGACAATTCTAATAAACAGCCTCCAAGTTTTACTCCTATATTAATGAGTTAAATGCGATTCTCCATCAGAGTATAAAATATTAAACGACACAAATAATTTCTTTGATACCTCAACTTTCACTACTTTCAAGGTGTCTAAGCAGATAGAGACGCTTTTAACACCCCAGATCACCACACTCAGAAAAAGGGTGGTAAAGAATACCCAGAAATGAAAAATAATGATATCCAAAGCATCATCATCATTATCAACATAGGACCAGGCATTACTGCTTAACGGTCCGAGTTGCCACACCTCATATCAGCACATCAAGTTGAAAGATAGTGAGGTGAAAGTTGAAGATAAGTGAATGCAGTCAAAAGAAATATAAAGTACGAGAAGAAAGGAAAGAGGAGTAACAAAATGGTGAGATTCGGTATAGCGTTATTAAGATGAGGATAATGTGTGTATACATCAACGCCACTGACTTCGGTTCTGAGCCACATCACCTAGGGTCTCCAACCACTTGTTCCTCTTATCTCGTGGACCCCAACCAAAGCTGTAGAAGACTATTAGATAAAAATAAGGGAAGATGAAGGGAAAACGGCAGTTCATTTTTATGATTTAGTTGGAGATGACGCCTAGTTGCCATATGTATGCAGCAGTATGTTCTTCCTAACCATCACTTTGACTCTAATAAAAATAATACAGAACCGAAGTTCTGATTCATTATTATTATTTGTCCCGTGGGTTCCTAGTGGAACATAGGGCTTCAGTAGCATATAGCCATTTCACTCTTCTTGCAATCTTCTAAACCTGGCTCCACAACTGCCCAGAGCCTTTCATTTTTTCCTCACACCATCTCCATGTCATCCTCGACTCAGACGCCTAACTGGTCGTTTCCCATTTGGCTTCCATTCGACGATCTGACCTGGTGCGTGATGTCCCCAATCGGTCTTCTCAGTGTACGTCCAATCCAATCCAACCCATCTGTACTTTTTTCCACTGCATATTCATTAAGCGATGGCTTCTTGCTTCGTTGAAAGCCAGATAGAGTTCCTAGTTGCTTATTCTCATTATTCTGGCCACCTGATCTTCAGTGTCAGTATCGAGTGAGCATAGACGGCAGCTGTTGATGACGTGTGCCTGTAGTTTGTTGGAAATGCTTTTCGTAACGCCCCAAGTCTTTCAACCATCACACAGAAGCACTGACTTGACTGACATTAGTGTTGAAAATCCGGTAGTAGACCTTCACACTGATTTCAGACTAATGAAAGCCTATCTTGCTTTTCCGATCCTGGCTTTGATATCCTCATCTGTGCAGCCCGTAATTGAAACGATACTACCTAGGTAGGTGAAAGAGACTACTTCCTTTAGGTTTCTCTCGTTGATGGTGATTGGTGCTTCGTCTGATTCATTATTCTATCCAAAAGTTCTCAAGGTACATGTAGCCACATTTTAGCAATCATATTTGTCAGAAATGAAAGTAACTGTCCACTCTCGTAGATGAAACAGCTGCCTAGGTTTTCCGCTGGCTTTTAACGGTTTTCCAACTGGTATCAGTCTGTGATGAAAAACCACTTTGGAAATTCTTTCTCTTAAGTCAAAATGTCCGCTCTGCTCACTTATTATTAGTTTTACAAGTGAATGACGACAGTGAAACATCCAAACTAGTTTCGAATAGTACCTGAGTACAAATTAACACCACTAAACGACTAGTAATAATCATAATAATAAATAAATAAATAAGAAGAAGACTGTGGTACAAAATCATTCCTACCAATGACTTACCTCCTTAGCTAAAAGCAATCGAAATCGTGTGATTAAACTTTCACCGAACAAATAATAATTTGATGTGAACAGAAAGTACCACGATAATGGTCGAAACCATGGTAAATCATGTGATCGATAAACCAAATAACCAATGTTGATTATTTCATTGAAACAAGCTAATTGAATGGCTAAAACCTGTATAAAACAGAGGGGCGAGGGGGAGATAGATAAAGATGAGGAAACTGAAATAATAGTTACACACGATAATGACTATCCAATAACTTATAGAAACTGCATTATATCATAAACCCGCTTAGCACTTATGCGATGAAAAATGATCAATTCAAAATGATAAAACAATCAACATCTGACGAATTCCCAAGGAGCTATGAACCACTGGGCTAGGATATTCAACTTCCAACCGGACGACAGACCATTATCAGTGTGAATCTCGATCTCCATTCATCTTGTTTGGATAGGCAGGCACACCACTGATAGTCAGATACTACAACCAGACCTCTAGATCGATAGAATCAAGCATCACTTAGAAATCAAGAGATAGGGTGTGTCAAAGCAAACACGACAACAGGATTAACTAGAACTAGGCGGAAAGATCATTCCTCTAAAAACAAGAAGATAACAGAAATCGAGCAATTCGGTCCTGTATAGTAATAGGAAATAACTATTATCAAAACGACAAATGATACCCGGTGGACAAGCGGTGGCACTCATTCCTCAGTGGGAAAAACATCACTCGACTGACGATACCAAAAAAGGACGAAACGCACGCTCTGGGTTCAACAGCTGGTCACCAAGATGAATACGACAAAAAGATAGCTATTTCAACTAAATCTTGAAACGGACACCGACTTCCTTTCGCGCAGACATCTCCAAAGCCAGCACAAAATATTCAGCATGAAAGACCTTGATACAACATACAGTATATTGAATCACTGAAACTGATAGTACAAAAAAGGAATAACAGAAGAACCAATTCAGCTGATAACGGTGAGCATCAGACCTGAAATTATTATGTAACGGTTTACTTTGACCAGCAATAAGAGGAAAGACAAATAATGTAGTGAAAAGTCGACGAAGAAAGGAAATAAGGAAATGTATTACCAAGATTGAAATGACCATAAGGGGTAGATACATCTACGTCATTGTAATTGATTTCAAACCAAATCATAGCTCCCAGTCAGTAACACGACTGGGTTCAGCTTATATTTTGAAAAATTGGATGCATGAAATCATAAACATTTTCTCTGCATCACAGAGATGATAAGATTTCTGTACCCACAAACACACTTTTACTCACATACTGTAATAATTCCAATTGCTACACTTTCTCTCTCATAACACTAAATTTTTTACACAGAACCTATATATTGGTTCATAACAAGGTAAGTGATTTCTAGCACTACTTCAGATTGCGTAACATATCCATGTGATAAAATGAAAGTGGCCACAAAGAAATAAAAGTATTTTTCAAGCTGATATTCATCATGGACTGGCATCAGTTGGAGGAGTATTGGAAACGTGAGAGCACTGGACACCCGTTTCGTCCTAGTGTGGGACTCTTCAGCAGTGCGTGTCTACGACCTTACCCCGCCAGCGGTCGAACCCAGGACCTTCAGGCTCCGTGGCAAGCACGTTATCGTTGACCAACTAGGTTGGAACCCAGTGGTCCATATCTTAAACTTCTGACAGTTCATGACATAGCGCGACCATCACCCGATGTCGTCTTTGAGTATTTGTCCTCATGGTCACCAGGTTTTCCCCACTGGTCACGACTTCTAATGTCAACCCATGATGAGTACCAATTTGGAAAATCACAAAATCCCCACAAATCCCCAAGTGAAATTGATCTAGTGCTCATTGGTGAGTAGCTTCGACACATGATTTCTGAAGTTCCAATGAGAATCGTGATTGGTGGGGAAAACTTGGTGGCCGTGAGGACAAATACTTAACGATGACAATCAGTGATGATCGCGCTATACCGCGAACTGACAGAGGTTGGAAATATGGACCACTAGACTCCCACCCAGTGGGTCAACGGTAACATGCTGACCACGGAACCTGAAAGTAATGGGTTTGATCCCCCGCGGGGTAGGGTCATTTATGCGCACTGCTGAGGAGTCTCATACTAGGACGAAACAGGTGTCCAGTCCTCCTAGGTTTTCATTATCCCGCAAACTGATGTCAGTCCACGACGAATACCAATTCTAAAAATCACTAAACCCCTACAAATCCCCAAAATAAATAGAAATATTCCCAATTTTAAAATCACCAACTTTAAGCATTAACACTTCAAATATCAGTGTGGACTAAACATTTATTTGTAGCGCTCTCAACCTTTCCTCTGCTTGTTCCAAAATGCAGAGTTAGTGGAAGTAAACGTGTGTCTCATCATATTAACAACTCAACTTTCAAACAACAAGTCTTAATTTCGAATCCCACCGCAACTATCTTGGTTTGAGTAACCCAATAGTAGTATAAGCCCTCACATAGCAAGTGTGGTGTACATTCCAGGAGATAAATCTGCACGAGGTTGAATTGCACTATTATTTATATCGAATTCATACTTACAGGGAAAATGGCACTATAACCGAAGGAATCAGAATTTTGACAATAACAGTAGGATGAAAACCGAAAAAGGAAATGAAACCAAGATGCGAGAAAATGTTTAAATCAGTGCGATCCGTTTCAAATCATGTTACCACCTGATTAATCTAGGCTAAAAAATAAAGATTACTATTTGTTGATATGCTTGGAATTCTCCATTGTTTTACTGGGTTGGATTGTCCGACCTCTACTGAAATATGGGTTCCTATGCTGATGCCTCGATATTGCCTGAATGTTAATTATATTAATTTACTTGGTTGTGGCTAGCAGAAGAATCCAGGAGGTGCGTTTTGTCCTATTTAGAACTCGTCAGTCGGATGTACCTCAAATGCCCCAGTAGATAACACCTTGGCGTTAGAAACGATGGGTGTGAGGTTCGAGTCCGAGCGGGAACAACATCCCTCACTGGGGTGCAGATACAACCAGCTGACGAGTCCCAAGTAGGATGAAACGCGCATTCTAGACTCCTCTGCTAGTCATAACCAATTAAATTAACAAAAAGATGTTGATCACATGATGATATTCACTTTGTTATCTGTTGAAGCATATAAGTTAGGATTATTCTATTTATTAAACTGTTTGCAGAAATCATGGATTATTGCACTTTATAAAAATAGGAATACCACCTAACGTAGCTCCTAGAATGGATAATTAGTTTATGCTTGACTGGTGTACTTATGTATTTGTTAAAGTTTTATTTCATTCTTCAAAACATCCTTGGTCCAAAGGAATTTCATTCAACCATGTTAAGCGAGATTCGCCTGACAATGTCTCTAAAGCCTAAGGTAATTAAGAGGAAGAAAATTTGTGGGCTATCCATTTGAGATCCCCAATTAAAATGACAATGTACAGACAGCCATAACTTGAATCGAATACAATGAGTGCAGTTTGCAGTTTTGCTTCAGATAGTAAATATTACTGAGATATTAGCTTGGAGATTGCATATTCTCCGTAGAGAGTATAAATGGCATGACGCAGTCTCATGAATACCATCGGTTGAAAAATAGTGTTTGCAGTGCGTTGCACATCTATCACTTGTGAAATGATTCTAGAAAATACTGATATTTTTTATATCCTATTATGACCCGATGAAATAAAGTATGTGGAAATTGTAGCAAATATTTTTAGCTCAGAATGTGGATGTCCAGAGTAAATAGTTCTCTGAGCTGGTGTTTTAGTTAAAAAAAAACCTCATAATGCCATGCTAGACATCATCATCAGTGCATCACAGCCTCACAAGAATGTTATAACTATTAAGATCACCTGTAAAGTTGCATCAGCCTTCATGATATGATGAAAAATTTCGTCAGCATTCACATATGGAACTTATGATCCTAAAACATATCGCCATACAAATCAGAAAGGTTTATACAGTGACATTAAAATCTATTCGACTGTATAGTTTTGAAATAAGACCACTACTACTCGACAACAGAGTACTAGGTGAAAATGAAACAAAATCATCAGTAAATAAAATTTTCAACTTTTAATAACTAAATGATCTAAGATATGTGCTGTATAGATCAACTTAATTCCTATTTTAACGGGGGATATTACTTGTTATAACGAAAAAAGGAATCCTAGAACGATTGATTCCAGAAACGATAATCATCCATGAGTGCTCTAACACTTGATTAATACTACCACCTTTGAAACTCCTTAAAACTCGAATATATAAAAAAAGACATACTTCATATAACCGTGAAAACTAGTGTCAGTGTATCAAATACAACTACTCATTCTATGAGTGACTTTTAAGGCCGCCCAAGCAACTGATGAAACAACTAATCACGTTTCTCTATTCTATGAAAAATGGTCTTCCCAGACAAAATACCGCAACCTAATTGATTATTTTCTCAGTTGTTAGGGTGGTTTTTAAAGTTGCATCATTTTACCAACCTACATTTTCAAAATTGTTTCATTGTTGTAAATCTAACTGATTTCAAAGGTTTGCATTTCTTTATCTAGTTTTCTATTGATACTTGGCTTGCTCATCTGACAGCTTTTTCTCATCTACACCAATATGAAATGTGAACAACATGAATAACCTCACAATTTTACCAAATTCTACATTGCAGTAATCATATAGCCAGTGAACAGCTGACCTAAGTGAGTCACTGCATACTCCCTTACATGGATATACCTTTAGTTAATCAGTACATTGACTGACTGATTCAATGGTTAGCTTCCACGTCGGAGACATTCCTAAACAAATAAAAAGATAGAAGTTATGGTTTATATCTGAACGTTGAACATCGTGATCGCCTAAGTCGATGCAGACATTACCCACTCATCCCTAATTAAAACTAGACGCTTAAACTTAGCATAACTAGTGAATAACTTCAATCCTCCCCCCGTCTCTCCTCACACATAAAAGTCCATTCATAAATCATATCCTCCAAATTAATGTTATTACAATCAACATAACTTCAACCAACGAGTAATCATTATCAGTTGTTTATAATAACAATACACCCATTCTGTTTACCAAGAATTGGTTATTTGACCAAGATTCATTAAATACATATAAAAATATACTTAATATCACGAGGATTATAGCTCATGAAAAA